AGGCTTTCCTCCTGACGCGCCTGGCTGGCAGTTTTACCACCCCACCTCACGCCGTGTCTTGCCCTCTCAGGACGTCACGTTTGACGAGTCGGTTCCCTTTTGCCGCCTCTTCCCCTACCACACTGCCCCTCTCCCCCCCCCCCCCCCCCCCCGCCGCTCTTCCTCGCTCCATGTCCCCCTCCAGTAGACCCCCTCCCCCCTCAGGGTCCTGCTCCCTTAGATGTGTCTCAGGTAGACCCACTCCCCCTGGCTGAGCCTGTCGAGGTCACTGTAGACTCAGGTGCTGCTTGGGGTGCTGCGTCTGGGGGTGCTGCGCTTGCGAGTGCGGAGCCTGGGGGTGCTGAGCCTGCGAGTGCGGAGCCTGGGGGTGCTGAGCCTGAGGGTGCGGAGCCTGGGGGTGCTGAGTCTGAGGGTGCAGAGTCTTGGGGTGCTGAGCCTAAGGGTGCGGAGCCTGGGGGTGCTGAGTCTGAGGGTGCGGAGCCTGGGGGTGCTGAGTCTGAGGGTGCGGAGTCTGGGGGTGCTGAGCCTAGGGGTACTGCGTCTGCCGGAGGTCCTGCGGGTGCCTCGCCTCGACTGTCTCATCGGCGGGAGCCTCTCTCACTGCAGCAGCTGCGCGAGTGGTTTGCTCAGCGCACACGCCTTAGGAGTGGCGCTGCAGGAGCTGGAGGCCCTGCTGCTGGAGGCGCTGGAGCTGGAGGAGCTGGAGCTAGAGACCCTGGAGCTGGAGGCCCTGCCACTGGAGGCACTGGAGCTAGAGGTGCTGGAGCTACCGGATCTGGTGGTGTTAGAGGCACTGGAGCTAGAGACACTGGAGTAGGAGACACTGGCGCTGGAGGCGCTGGAGCTGGAGGAGCTGGAGCTGGAGACCCTGGAGCTGGAGGCGCTAGAGCTGGAGGCCCTGGAGCTAGAGGCGCTGGTGCTGGGGCCACTGGAGATGGAGATCCTGGAGCTGGAGGAGCTGGCGCTAGAGGCTTTGGTGCTAGAGGCTTTGGTGCTGGAGGCACTAGAGCTGGAGACCCTGGAGCTGGAGGCGCTGGAGCTGGAGACCCTGGAGCTGGAGGTCCTGGCGCTAGGGGTGCTGGAGCTAGGGGTACTGGTGCTGGAGGCACTGTGCAGCCGTGACCGTTTTTCGTTCTGCCGCCACCTGACCCGGTCCTTCGCCAGGTTCTTAGTCTCCCGTCTTCTACTGGCCTTACTCCAAGCTTGCTGTGTCCACTGCCTCACCAGTTGCAGCCACAGGTAGAGCCAGACTCCCCACTGCCTGATCCTTTTCCTTACGCTAAGCAAACAGACTCTCTTACAGAGCGTCGTGAGCCTGTGTCTCGTCCTGCCTCGCCTTTTCACGCTATTCGCACTGGTCGTCGTGTTCCTCGTCCGCGTCCTCCTCCTTTCCCCGGCACTCACATTATGGCACTTCGTCCTTCCTCTGTTCCACTGTGAGTTCCCCTGCCGTCTCCTCCTGCGTCCTCTCTTGCTGACGGTCCGGACCCTGAGTCTGACTTAGTTCATGCTGCCAGTCCTACTGTCCCACGTCTTCTAGCCACTATTGTCACTGACCCTTCGTTTGAGTCCACTACTGCGTCTGCCCTATTTGCTGAGCTTGTTGACTTTGCTGCCGCATGTCGTCTCGACTACGCCGCTAGTCTTGTTGCTGAGTCTGAGTCTGACTGTCCTCCGTCCGTCGGGGGTGAGTGTGGTCTTGGCACGGACGTCCTTGAAGACAGGCAGGAGGACTTTGAGTGTTTTGCAGCTGCTGTACCTCATCTTGTGGCCATGGTGCTTGCACCTGAGGGAGACCCGGATGCACCAGACATCCCGACCCCGCGCTCTTACGCAGAGGCGATTACGGGTCCCTACTCCTCTCAGTGGCTGACAGCCATGGACGCAGAAATGGCATCATGGAAGTCCACAGGCACCTACATCGATGCAGTTCCCCCTCCTGGGGCGAACATAGTCGATGGCATGTGGATTTTCAGGGTGAAGCGGCCGCCGGGTTCTCCGCCTGTCTTCAAGGCTCGTTACGTTGCACAAGGCTTCAGTCAGCGACAGGGAGTGGACTTCTTCAAGACCTTCTCCCCTACTCCAAGCATGACTACTCTTTGGGTGTTGCTGCACGTCGCAGCTCAACGTGACTATGAGTTGCACCCTCTGGACTTCAGCACAGCTTTCTTGCAGGGCAGCCTGCACGAGGAGATCTGGCTGCGCCGCCCACTTGGCTTCACTGGGTCGTTTCCTGCAGGTACCCAGTGGAGCCTCCAGTGGCCAGTCTACAGTCTCTGTCAGGCGCCTCGCGAGTGGCACGACACAATGAGGATGACACTTGCGGCTCTTGGGTGTGCTCCTTCGACTGCTGACCCGTCGCTGTTTCTGCGCACCGACACGTTGCTGCCGCCGTTCTACGTCCTCGTGTACATGGACGACTTGGTCTTTGCCACTGCTAACACTGAGGCACTGGCCCTTGTGAAGTCGGAGCTGCAGAAGAGACACACCTGCACTGACCTGGGTAAGCTGCGCAGCTATCTTGGCTTGCATATCACCCAGGACAGAGGACGGCGCACCATCACTCTGACTCAGTCACACATGGTGCACCAGGTCCTTCAGCGCTTCGGTTTCCAGTACTCCTCGCCACAGTCCACTCCTCTGCCTACCGGTCACTCGCTCTCAACTCCACCTTCGGACGAGTCCGTAGAGCTGAGTGGCCCGTATCCAGAGCTTGTGGGCTGCCTCATGTACCTGGTGACCTGCACTCGACCTGACCTTGCCTACCCTCTTAGCATCCTGGCACGCTACGTTGCGCCCGGGAGACACCGACCAGAGCACTGGGAGGCCGCTAAGAGGGTGTTGCGCTACTTGTGCTGTACATCGGGCATGGGGCTCGTGCTTGGAGGACGGGGTCCAGTTGTCCTCACTGGACACGCAGACGCTTCTTGGGTTGACGACTTGGCTACGCAGCAGTCGTCACAGGGTTACACTTTCAGCCTTGGCTCCGTCTCTGTTTCTTGGCAGTCTACCCGCTCGTCTTCTGTTCTCAGTTCCAGTTGTGAGGCTGAGATCTACGCAGGGGCCATGGCTGCACAGGAGTTACGCTGGCTCACCTACCTGCTGACCGACTTGGAAGAGCGGCCTCGTTCGTCTCCAGTGCTGTACGTAGACAACAAGGCCATGATAACCTTGTGTCAGGAGCACAGACTGGAGCACAGAACAAAGCACATCGCTCTGCGTTATTTCCTTGCTCGAGAGTTGCAGCAGCGTGGTCAGCTTCGTCTTGCTTACGTGGCCACTCGGGCCAACACTGCTGATATATTCACCAAGGCATTTCAGCCTAGTGATCATCAGCGTTCCTGTACTGTTTTAGGCCTTGTGCCTACTTTGCCTCACTTGCTCACTGCGTGACTTTGCTTGTACTGTGATTTATATATATACCTGCATGCTTACACTTGCTAGGGTATGATCACTGTACTTTTTGTTCTCTTTTATATAACTCTGCATGTGAACTGGCCTTGTGGCCATTTGCTTGTGCTCGGAATGTGTGGTGACTTCGTGATCCACCCTGAGCTTGCTTCACTTTTCTTGACTAGACTTGTGGCCACTTTTTCTCCCCCACCTTGCCTATGGGGGTGTGTCAAAATGTTATATTGCTTATATTGCGTAGGCTGTAGTGGGGTAGCCCATAAGGGGTACAACCCAATTAGTGTTAGTACTTGTACCAACTTTCTGCTCAATGCATTCATTCTCGTTCAGTATTCTGACAGTAGCCCGCGATCTAGCAGCCGAGCCCGTGATCTAGCCGCCTAGTCCTCGATTTTGCCGCCCAGCCCACGATCTAGTCGCCCAGCCCGAGATTTAGCCACCAGGTCTGCGATTTAGCCACTTAGCAGCGATCTAGCCGACCAGCCCGTGTTCTAGCCTCAAAGCCAGCGAATAGGCCGCCCGGCGCAAGAATTCGCGCCATTTCAGGCTCTTTTCATGTATTGGCAACAGAATCCGCGCCATAGCAGCGACACCCGCGCCATAGCAGCGAAATCCGCGCCACAGCAGCGAAATCCGTGCCACCGCAGTGACATCCGCGCCACAGCAGCAAAATCCGTGCCACAGCAGCGAAATCCGCGCCACAGCAGCGAAATCCGCGCCACATCAGCGAAATCTGCGCCATGGCAGCGAGATCCGCACCAAAGCAGCGAAATCCGCGCCACAGCAGCGATATTCGCGCCATAGCAGCGAAAGCCGCGCCATAGCAGCGGAATCCGCGCCATAGCAGCGAAAACCGCGCCTTAGCGACGGAATCCTCGCCATAGCATCGAAATCCGCGCCATAGCAGCAAAACCCGTGCCATAGCAGCAAAATCGCGCCATAGCAGCAAAATCCACACCATAGCATCGACAATAGAGTAAGCGAACAAGCCTTGGCCAGAGCTTGGAGCCATGGCGGACGACCCGGACCCCGGGGATCCCGGGGCCTGGGTGGGGGTCGGTCTGGACAGCGACATGACGGGGGCCCTCGGGGGCGAAGGGGGGGCAAGCACAGTAGCAGTTGGTGGGTCGCTCCACCTATTGGCTGGTCACAAAAGACAAGGGGGGGGGGGGGGGGGGGGGGGGGGGGCTGAGTCTGCGCTCCAGAGCCCACGCATCCGTCGCCTCCACCACGAAGACCTTTTATGCCTCTTTGGCAAACCATCCAAGAGACAGTGTTCTGAAGCGGGCTGTCCGATTTCAGCAATGACAAGTGGGCAATCCCTTGAAGACCCTACCAACACCCGTGCTGACCAGAGCGACGACCCCGAACCTGCGGTCGTCAACTAAGAGGGGGGGGGAGCGATAAGTGACAAGGGTGCGGTCGTCGAGGTGGCGGTAACTCCAAGGGAGGCATCGGAGGTAGCGAGGGTAGCTTGGGAAGAGCACCGTAGGTGCTTGCAACAACAGCATGACACCCGCAGAAGCGGCCTATCTGAGAGGTTAACGCTGCACAGTGCCGGCTCGGCCGATGCCGCAATCTCCCTGGTCATGCCACGTCTTGCACGGCGGCAGGAGCGGAGGCGCCGGAGGACGGCGGGGAAAGACAGGCAGCAGGAGCCGCTAGTGGGGGGCCGGCAGGACCTACAGGTGGGCGGGCCGCAAGGGGCCCAGGAGAGGGCCCGGCAGCCGCCGGTGGGGATGGGGCAGCAGCGGCTGCGGAGCGGAGGGCAGCAGGAGCTGCCGAGCGGAGGGCAGCAGCAGATGCAGAGCGGAGGGCAGCAGCAGCTGCAGAGCGGAGGGCAGCAGGAGATGCGGAGCGGAGGGCAGAAGCAGCTGCGGAGCGGAATGCGGCAGCTGCAGCAGAGCGGAGGGCAGAAGGCGTGGGAGGCTGGGGGGCAGCAGAAGCTGAAGGCTGGGGCCCAGCAGGGGCTGCAGGCTGGGGGGCAGCAGGAGCTGGCTGGAGGGCAGCAGGAGCAGGCCGGAGGCCAGCAGGCGTTGGAGGCGGAGATGGAGGTGGAGCAGGGGGGCGGGGAGCAGCAGGAGCTGCAGGCTGGGGGGCAGCAGAAGCTGCAAGCTGGGGCCCAGCAGGGGCTGCAGGCTGGGGGGCAGCAGGAGCTGGCTGGAGGCCAGCAGGCGTTGGAGGCGGAGATGGAGGTGGAGCAGGGGGCCGGGGAGCAGCAGGAGCTGCAGGCTGGGGGGCAGCAGGAGCAGCAGGCTGGGGCCCGGCAGGGGCTGCAGGCTGGGGGGCAGCAGGAGCTGGCCGGAGGCCAGCAGGCGTTGGAGGCGGAGATGGAGGTGGAGCAGGGGGGCGGGGAGCAGCAGGAGCTGCAGGCTGGGGGGCAGCAGAAGCTGCAAGATGGGGGGCAGCAGGAGCCGCAGGCTGGGGGGCAGCAGGAGCCGCAGGAGCTGGAGATGGAGATGGAGGAGCCACAAGAGGAGGCGCGAGGGGAGCTGCCGGTAGGCGTGCAGGAGGGGAGTCAAACAGGGAATCAGCCTCAGTTGCAGGCAGGGCGGCAGCAAGGGTGTCATGAGGGGAACCAGCCCTTGCCTGGAAGCGTACAACAGGGGTTGCCGATGAGTGAGTCGCAGGAGTTGCAGGCGCAGGATCAGCAGGGGGTCACTAGCCCGGGCAGCACAGGCCAAGCAGAAAGGCCGCGGGCACGGCGCCGAAGGGGGCGATGACAGGGAGGGCAGAGGGCTGGGGGCCAGCCGGGGGTGACCGGAGCAGCTCAGGGAAAGCAGCAGCCAGGGGGACAGCCAGGGGTGACTGGAGCACCCCAGAGAGAGCAGCAGCCAGGGGGACAGCCGGGGGTGACCCGAGCACCCCAGGGAGCGCAGCAGCCAGGGGGGCAGCCGGGGGTGACCGGAGCACCCCAGGGAGAGCAGCAGCCAGGGGGGCAGCCGGGGGTGACTGGAGCACCCCAGAGAGAGCAGCAGCCAGGGGGGGAGCCGGGGGTGACCGGAGCACCCCAGAGAGAGCAGCAGCCAAGGGAGCAGCCGGGGGTGATTGGAGCACCCCAGGGAGCGCAGCAGCCAGGGGGGCAGCCGGGGGTGACCCGAGCACCCCAGAGAGAGCAGCAGCCAGGGGGGCAGCCGGGGGCGACCGGAGCACCCCAGGGAGCGCAGCAGCCAGGGGGGTAGCCGGGGGTGACCGGAGCACCCCAGGGAACGCAGCGGCCAGGGGGGCAGCTGGGAGTGACCGGAGCACCCCAGGGAGAGCAGCAGCCAGGGGGGCAGCCGGGGGTGACCGGAGCACCCCAGGGAGAGCAGCAGCCAGGGGGGCAGCCGGGGGTGACCGGAGCACCCCAGGGAATGCAGCAGCCAGGGGGGCAGTCGATGGCCGACCAGGAGCAGCAGTTGGAGGAGTGGAGCCGACTTTGGAGTTAGATACCCCCATGGCGACTGCAGAGGAGTCAGAGGTGGACGGAGAACCTCCTAGGCCGCCTTCCCCATGCCCCCGTTTTCCGTGTGATACGTGTTTTCACACATTCGCTACGCGAGGGGCTGTTGCGAACCACATGAGGGTGTGCCGGGCGGCTGAGGCAGAGAGTCGTGCGCAGGCACTTGGCTCGATCCCGTCTCTAGTGGAGACCGACACGCAGGAGCGACCGACGCCGCGGGAATTTGGGGACGAGGCGTGGGCCGGGGTTACGTCATGGGAGTGGGAAGCATTTTTCAGTGTGGAGGCCGTTGGAGGGAGGACAGTGCGCCAGATCCCACAGCGGGCCCGGTCGGGGGTCTTAGACGCGCTATGTTGCGTCTTAAAGCGTTTGAAGAGCCGACCGGGGGATGAAGCCGCTACCCTCCTACTCTTGGCGTTTCCGCGCCTCATCCTAGCCGTGCCTCCCAAGCCAGGCATAGGTCAGAAGGCGCTAATCACAGAGCGGCTGGGGGCGTTCTGGGAGGGGAGGTGGCGGGAGCTGTTCGACTCTGCCATGGTGGCGGCGCGGCCAGCAGTTCGCCCACTTGCCTACACTTGCTCTGACAAGGACCCGGATGCCATCCGCCTGTCACGGTGCCGATCTCGGTGTAAAGTGGGAAAGTGGAGCCGTGGAATGGCTTGCCTTACAGCAGGAGAGTTGGCTCGACCGTCTGAGGCCATGGTGCAGTCGCTGCGAGAGAAGCACCCTGCTAGCACTGGCGAGGTACCACAGTGGGTCCGTGATTTCACCGTCGATGCTCCTCAGCGGCCTCCACTCACGACCGACATCCTGTCCATCCTGCAGATAGACGTCGCGAACGCCTTCAATTCGTTTCACCGTCATGCGATGTTTGAGGGGCTGCGGGAGTCGCCTTTCTCAGGGTTGATCCCATTCTTGCGTGTTTTCTACGGGACACCTAGCGACCTGTACTTCCGAGCGGGCCCTTTCGTACAGAGCCTTGAGTCGGCACGAGGATCGCGGCAGGGGGACCCGCTCGGCCCTTTTCTTTTCGCGTTCACGCAGCAGCTGGTGATGGAGTCGGTGACTAGAGAGTTCAGGGACCTACTTTTCCTGAGTTATGCAGACGATTCATATATCCTGGGACCAGCGGCTAGGATTCTAGAGGCTTTTGGGGTGCTGCGGGAGCGGTTGGAGTGGGTGGGGCTGGAGGTGCAGGCGCACAAGTGCCGGTTTTGGGAGCGCGAAGGTGGGGATGTGGAGCGGGCACTGCCATTGGGGATGCAGCGGGTGGAGGAGGGTCTCACTGTGGTGGGCGTGCCTATTGGGGAGGAGGATTGGGACGTGGTCCGGTTACGGGAGCGGCTTCGACAGTTGCAGGCGCCACTGCCATGGATCCCCCTGCTCGACCATCCCCAGATGGCTTCACATCTCCTCGCCATTGCAGTTTCAGCACGGCCGATGTACCTGGCCCGGACTATGCCGCCGCGTCCGGAGGTGGTGGAGGCCTTTAGGGATTGGGATAGACGTCTGGAGGATTACTTTGAGCAGCTTTTCCCACCTGGCACTTGGGAGCAGGAACCCGACCGGTCTAGGCGCGCACGCATGCAGCTGCTTCTTCCTGTGCGACTCGGAGGGTTTGGGATCCGGGCGGCGGCCTCTTTGAGTCCGTTGTCCTATGTTTGTGGGTGGGCGCAAGCCGCACGGGATATTGCACAGTTGGGGGTGGCAGGTAAGGAGGCGATGTTTGCAGAGTACCTCACCACTTCGGCAGGGGCGGAGTTTCTTGACCCATGGTTTGCCAAGGCTATTGAGCAGCTGCCTGCGATTATACGCCAGGAGATGCCGGGCTTACCTCTCTGTGTAGCGGCCCCTCCTCTTCGGATTTTCTAGGCGCGGCAGCGGCAGTTGGCTGTAGAGGAGCTCCAGGCACTGCGACACTCAGCTCGTGACGATGCCACCCTGGCCCGTTTCACATCCCTTCAGGGCTCGGGGGCTGGTGCATGGGTTTCGGCGGTCCCGGCTCACTCAGATCTCACATTCACTGCGGCTGAGTGGGGCATTGCTGTTGCTATACGGCTCGGGCTCCCAATTCGGCAGCTGCAGGTGGCGGGGAGGTGTGTTTGTGGCACAGCATATATTGACCCAGCAGACCCGCATCATGCCCTGAGATGCAATCACCAGCACGATCCATCTCGGGTGCATGATGAGGTGAAGTTTGCGGTGGCGAGGATCTCGAAGGCGTCAGGAGGGGTGGTGACGATGGAGGATAGTGTGGTGCTGTCGGGGAAGCGGGTTGACGTAGCGGTGCGACGACCAATGGCCGGGGAGGCGCACGCTCTAGAGATTAGCGTCGCGAACCCGCTATCGCTGTCTCCATCTCTGCTAGGGCAGTGCGGGCGTTCTATAGGTGTGGCGGCAAAGGAGTGGGAGCGTCGCAAAATGAGTGATTACGCGCCTCTGCTTGCACGCAACCGGGGCGTGCAGTTCACCCCTTTGATAGTCGAGACGTGGGGGTGTCTTGGCGGTCGTTTCCAGCGGTGGCTTCGACAGCAGAGGGACGCGCACGCGGAGCTAGCTGTGTCACGGGGGGCTTGTCGGGAGGATGACACTTCATTTTCGGCTTATCTTTTGGGGTCTCTGAAGCCGCTCATCGGGGTGGCGTTACAACAGGCGCAAGCTCGTGTCATCCTGCTTCGGGCGGGGTCTTCCATGGGGGGGATGAATGTGGATTTGGTGGACCGGGAGAGGGACGACGTTGAGGTGGAGGGCGGGGCTCTCTGGGTGGAGGCCCCGTACATGGTGGATGTGCAGATGTGACTGAGGGTGGGGTGAAATGGGGTGCGGGATGGGGTGTCTTGATGGGGTGTCCTGACTGGGTGTTTTGATTGGGTATCTTGATAGGGCTTTTTATGGGCATTGCGTTTGGGATTTTTTGGCAGTTTTACTTTCCTTCTCCCTTTCCTTCTCCACCTCCCTTGTCCTTCATTTATGTCTCTCTTTCCCTTTTTCCTCTTTCTGTCTAGGATAATGTGATTTACGCTTATATGGTATATAAACAAGACTCGACGTTGACGTCGGAAGGGTTGCGTAGAGCTGTATTCCGTGTATAAGGAACATTATGAAAGAGTACAATATAATCATATTTTGCTTAAAGAAGCAATTAATTAAGTTCCTTCATTTTAACTTCAAACAGGACACTGTATATGGTGCTTCGTTCTGCGCTGGCAGAAATTGTATCGTTCTGTGGTGGCAGAAATTGTCTTGTTCTGCGCTGGCAGAAATTCTCATTCTGCGCTGGCAGAAATTTTATCTCTGCGCTGGCATCCGTCCCTTTCACAGCTGTCAACTCAATTTCTGCGCTCTTTTCTTGGTTCTTTTGTTCTGGTTCCTCTCGACTCGACAAGCACACCTGCTCTGCTCTTATTCCTCTTCCTTGCCCCCACCCCAATTTCTCGCCAGTTCTCCCACCCAGCCGTCGCTCTCGCTCCCACCCCGCCGTATCCTCTCCCTCACTACCCGCCTTCACCTCTCCTATTCACCTCACAGTCACTCAGTCCCACACCACGATCTCCTCTTCCTTACTTCCCCGTCGTCGCCTCTCCCTCCTCCCCGTCGTCGCCTCTCCCTCCTCCCCATCGTCGCCTCTCCCTCCTCCCCGTCGTCGCCTCTCCCTCCTCCCCGTCGTCGCCTCTCCCTCCTCCCCGTCGTCGCATCTCCCTCCTCCCCGTCGTCGCCTCTCCCTCCTCCCCGCCGTCGCCTCTCCCTCCTCCCCGCCGTCGCCTCTCCCTCCTCCCCGCCGTCGCCTCTCCCTCCTCCCCGTCGTCGCCTCTCCCTCCTCCCCGCCGTCGCCTCTCCATCCTCCCCGCCGTCGCCTCTCCCTCCTCCCCGCCGTCGCCTCTCCCTCCTTCCCGCCGTCGCCTCTCCCTCCTCCCCGTCATCGCCTCTCCCGCCGTCGCCTCTCCCTCCTCCCCGCCGTCGCCTCTCCCTCCTCCCCGCCGTCGCCTCTCCCTCCTCCCCGCCGTCGCCTCTCCATCCTCCCCGCCGTCGCCTCTCCCTCCTCCCCGCCGTCGCCTCTCCCTCCTTCCCGCCGTCGCCTCTCCCTCCTCCCCGTCGTCGCCTCTCCCTCCTCCCCGCCGTCGCCTCTCCCTCCTCCCCGCCGTCGCCTCTCCCTCCTCCCCGTCGTCGCCTCTCCCTCCTCCCCGCCGTCGCCTCTCCCTCCTCCCCGCCGTCGCCGCTCCATCCTCCCCGCCGTCGCCGCTCCTTCCTCCCCGCCATCGCCTCTCCCTCCTCCCCGCCGTCCCCTCTCCCTCCACGCGGTTGCCTCTCCCTCCTCCCCGCCGTCGCCGCTCCCTCCTCCCCGCCGTCGCCTCTCCCTCCTCCCCGCCGTCGCCTCTTCCTCCTCCCCGCCGTCGCCTCCGGCGACAGGTGCACGAGCGCAAGCGTGAGTTGGTGCGCGAGCGCGGATTGGTGCGCGAGCCCGGGTTGTTTTCTGAGTTACCGTGGTTATCTGGTGCGTTCCCGGTTCTTTCATCCTCCCTCCTCCTTCTGAAAAATCTTTCTTCTTCTTCTTCTTTTGTTTGTTTGTTTTTTGCTCTCCTCGTGAAAGAGCGCGTGAGAGAGCGCGTGACAGTGCGTGTTAGAGCCCGTGAGAGCGAGCGCGCCTGAGAGAGCGTGCGAGGGAGCGCATGAGTGAGAGTGCGCGTGAGAGTGCGAATGAGAGATTGCGTGAGAGAGTGCGTGAGGGAGCGCGTGAGAGAGCGCGTGAGGGAGCGCGTGAGAGTGTGTGAGAGAGTGCGCGAGAGAGTGCGCGAGAGAGTGCACGAGTGAGCGCGTGAGAGTGCGCAAGAGAGAGCGCGCAAGAGTGTGTGCAAAAGAGCGCGTGGGAGAGTGCGCGCGATAGAGCGCGCGAGTTTGCGCATGAGGGAGCGCGTGAGAGAACGTGGGAGTTTGCGCGTGAATTTCTGTTGCGCTTACTTTGTTTTTTAGTGCATCAAGGAAGCTGAATTCTCTTATTTTTTTTTATTGTGCTATTAATGCAAGTTGTATTCTCTGATTTTGTTCTTGTTTGTGCAGGGAGTGAGTTGCATTCCCTGATTTTTCTTTCCTGTGCAGGGAGTTCAAGCTGCAGCCTTTGTTTCTTGCGGAGAAAAGGGATGGGGAGAAGGGAGATGAGGGAAATGAGGGAGGGAGGGAGGGAGGGAGGGAGGGAGGGAGGGAGGGAGGGAGGGAGGGAGGGAGGGAGGGGAACGGGGGACAGGATAGTGATAATTTATACAAGGCTGAAATTAATTCATTATGCTTGCATGCTTATTACAGTAGCTGTATGTTTTTGCGTTGTGTGTCTCTGTATATGTGTGAGCCTGTATGGGTGTGAGTGCGTTGCGTACATGTGCATATGTGTGTTGTGCGTGCTTCAGGGTGTGGTGCTAAGTGCCTCCTGAATGCAACTCGGATTGTGATCGTCGGTGGGGCAGCTTTGCTAGCCTCTTCCGTACCATATCAATCTCAGTTGCAGCAGTGATGCATTTAGCATTCGCTTTGAAACTTTCTTAAACGTTGTCTTGTGTTTTAGTAATCATTTATGTGTTATCGTCTGTGCTTGTTTTGGGGGTGTGGTGCTAAGTGTCTCGTGTATGCAACTGGGATTGTGATCGTCGGTGGGGCAGCTTTGCTCGCCTCTTCCGTACCATATCAGTCTCAGTTGTTGCATAGATGCATTTAGTATTCCCTTCAAAACATGTAAGACGGTTCTTGTACACCATCGTTTTTGTGGTCATTTGTGTATGTCTGTCTCTCGGTGGTACTGTTGTATTTTTTGTGTTGTCCTTTGTGTTCGTGTGTCATTGGGTACCGTATCATCTTTAGTGCTAAAACGATTCTCCAATTGTTCCATTCGCCGTACTTATCGACGATTATGGAATGATTGGAAACATTTGTTTTCATTTTTTTGGGGAAGCTATGTGAACAGTGATTTCTTTCTAAATTTATAAAAGAAATTCACTGTTCACATCAGCCAACCGAAAAGTGAAAACGAATGTATAAGGTTGCTACGCAACCCAAAAAGTGGTTGTGTACTTTTGCCAAAATGAATGTCAGCAGGAACTGTACAGATGTGATAGTGCCTTTGTAGAAATGTACCGTGCATTGAGAAAAAGCTAACACGATTAGAGTCTTCCTTAGCTTTCTTTACCATCATCATGCCATCCTCCTTCCATTCCCCAAACCTCCCACCAACCCCGTCATACCCGCGTCTCTCCCAGCCTAGCCGCATTGCCGCCCTCTTCGCGCTAGTCGCTCTCGCCTCTCTCCTCACCTGCATCTTCCTCTCCCTCCCACCCGCGGCCCCTCCGCCGCTCCCCCTCGTCCCCCTCACCGCCATCGCCGCTGCCGCCCACCCACATGCCGCCGTGACTGCCGCAGGAGGGAGAGGGGGAACAGCACGGCGGTTGCAGGGGCTGCGCGCGCCCCGTGACACCAAGCGCAAGTGGAATGGCGGAAGCTTCCTCGAGTTCTCTGCGGACGAGAGTGCGCGCATTAACGGACTGGGGGGGAGTGGAAGTGCGCGAGATGCGCGGGCGCAAAGGGAGTCGGGAGAAAAGGGAGCGGAAAAGACGAGGAACAGCGGATGGCCAGGCGTAAACAGGCGGGGCGGAGGGATGGTGTGGCGGGTGGGATGGTGGGGAGGTGGGGGTGGATCAGACGGAAGCAAGTCCGATGCCGTTGGCGCGAGCGACGAGCGCGCACATGGCGGCGTGGCGGAGAGCGCGAGGGCGCTGGCAGTGACGGCGAGGGGCGGGCGCGGCGGGCTGCACAGCGAGGGCGGGAAGAGCCGTGGGGCGCGGGAGGCCAAGGGGGAAGCGCAGGACGCGGTGGCACCAGTGGTTGAGGCGCAGCAAGTGGAGGGGCGCGGAGAGGGGGGGGGAGGTGTGGCGACGGGGATGCGAGCGGTGGGGCGGCTGGCAGATATGGAGGTGCTGCCGCTGGGGCAGGGGATGGGGGGACGACGACAGGCAGTGGCAGGGGGGGATGAGGGGGGGAGTGCGTGTGAGCGGATGGCAGGGAGGGCAGTGCAGAGGGTGGGCAGGCGCGGGGCGCTGGTACCTGAGGAGGGCCGCGCGCCCGCCAACGCCACCTCGCCTGCGCGCAGGGGCGGGGAGAGCAGGGCGCGCGCAGCAGCGGAGGGGCGCGGGCAGTGGCGCGTGCGGCGCGTGGCGCTGCACCCGGCAGTGCGGCGCTCCACGGGGCTGCCTCTGCGCTGCCACCAATGGCGCAGCGACGCCGTCTTCCTCCTCTCCGCCGCCCTGCCCGGTCACGGCCTCAGCCCCCTCCTGCTCGTGCGCCCCCGCCTCCCCACTTGCCCCCTCCCCACCATCTTCCCCTCGAAGCTTTCTCACATACTCCCCTTGCTGCTGCGTTCCCCTCCCTTTCCTACTTACTCCCCTCTGGTTTCCCTCTTCATCCCCTCTGCTTTCCCTCTTAGTCCTCCTCTCTGCTTCCACACTTGCTTCCCTCCCTGCTTTTTTCCCTCCTCATGCTTCCTCGCTTCTTCCCCGCGCTGCCCCCCCATGTGCACGCCTCTCTGTGGCGCCATGCCATGCCGAGGCCAGGAGTTGGATGCGCGCCTGCAGGCGGTGGGGCTACAGCACACGCTTGCCCTCGTGCCGCGCAACGTCTCACATGCCCATGCTCTCAGGTGTGTCGCACGCCCACCCACACTTCACCCACCATCTTTTGCATTTCCCTTTCCCTTGCCCTTCCCACTCAATCGCGTTCCCACCCCGTCCGCTCTGCTTGTCGCTCCCGCCCTCTCCCCCACCGTTGCTCCTGTACGTCTACCAAAACTCGCCCCGTAATCACCCCCTCCCCTTCTGCCGCCCCCAGGTACGCCCCTCTGTACCGCGCAGCACCGCAGGGCGGGGGGCGAGCAGGGGCGGGGAGGCAGGACGTGCGGTACAGTGCAGCGCATGCAGAGGTGTGGGCGCGCGTGGTGGCAGCACGGATGCCGTTCGCCCTGGTGCTGGAGGAGGACGCCCTCAACCGCAGCGAGGGCGTCGCCGCCTGGCAGGCGCGCTTCGAAATGGTGACCTGCCGGCGGGGGGATGGAGGGGCGCAACGGGACCACAAGATTCGCTTCCTGCTGCCTTGCTCAACCCGCTGTCTGTGTTGCCCTTTCCCCTTGCACGCCCACAGGTCACGTGCCCAACCCTGCCTCCGTGCCCCTTCACCTACACCTCTCCCCACTCCCCCGCTTCCCCTTTTTCTTCCCCTTCCCCCCCAGCTGCTGTGGGAGCTGAATCTGCTGATGCTGCAGCGCGCCGACCGCTTCTTCTTTGACGTGCTGCTGCTGGCGCGCCACGGCCTCGCGCCCTACGCGGAGCAGCAGCTGGCGCCGGGCATCGTGAGCGCGCAGCCCAGTGAGGCCATGCACGCCTACCTTCTCTCCTACGCCGGTGCCAAGCGCCTCCTCGCCCTCTCCCGCTTCCACTCGTACTCCCACCGCCTCTGCTCCAGCCCCTCTCTCTCTCCCCCACTCCATGCTGCCCGGACTTTGCTTTTGCCAGCAGCCAGCGCGCATGCATGCATGTGCCTCTTCAATCTAATCCGTGCATCACCTCCTTCCGTCTTCCTTCTCACTCTCACCCCCTGCTGCCCCCTCCCCCTGCACATGTCTCCCCTGTTGACCATGCAGGCCAGTGGCGGAGAGCACGGGAGGCATCCCTGGCATGACCATACTGGCAGCGGAGCCACCTCTCTTCGCCACCACCATCTTCGCCTGCTCGCCCAAGCCCTGCCGCACACCGCCGCCTGCGCTCTCCCTGCCCGCCTCCACGCGCCTCACCCCTGCCTGCCGCTCCACCATCCTGCTCACCCTGCCCGCCCACCCCTCCATGCCCGGCGCTGCCCTGCACGCCCCCTGGCGCATGCACGACCCTGTCCCCGCCGGCCCACGCCCCTCCATCCCCTCCTCCTCGCCTGCCTTCTGCCCACACCTCTCCCCCGCGCAGTGCCTGCTCGCAAACCACCTGCCACGCCTGCTGCCCCACGTGCGCGCCCCTCCTCTGCTCCTCCTCCCCCCCACGCTGCCCCCATCGCTGCCCCTCTGGCCGGCCTACGTGCTCTCACTGCGCCGGTCCCCCCAGCGCCTGCAGCGAGTGCTGCCGCTGCTGCAGCAGCAGGGCTTCGGGGACGTGGTGGTGGCTCACGGCGTGGATGGGGGCAGGGGACAGAGAGGGGGGGAAGGGGCGCAGGGCAGGGGGGAGGAGGCGGAGGCGGAGGCGGAGAGGAACCTGGACGTGTTTGGGGGGCTGGTGGGGGCGGGGGCGGTGTCGGTGACACGGCGCTCCATCAAGTGGCACAAGCTGGCGGAGCGGCGGCGCGAGCGGCTCACGAGAGGGGAGGTGGCGTGTGCTCTCTCGCACTACCTCGTGTGGCTTGAGGTGCTGCGCAGGAAGCTTCCCTACACCATTATACTAGAGGATGACGTCACCTTCACTACAAGCACATTCCGGGCCGACTTTGAACGGAACATCGCCGAGGCCAATGAGCTGTTGACACGTCAGCACAGCCCGGAGTCACCACCAGACATCATGTTTGTGGGGCACATGGGGGTGCTGGCAGGCCACTTCATGCCGCTGCTGTCCCCCCACATCGCATGGGACCCACTCTCCTGGTGCTCCTTTGCCTACATCATCTCCCACCGGGGTGCAGCGCGCCTGGTGGCGGGCTTTAAGGTGGACGACCCGCTCGACTCCCTCTGGTGGCGCCGGCCTAACCTCGCCTTCTGGGCCTTCCAACCCCCCCTCGCCTTCCACCTCTCCTCTCCCCGCCTCAACTCGTCCGTACCACTCTCTCCCCCATCCCCTCCCGCACCTCCTCCTCCCTCTCATCCACCTCATCCTTCTTCAACGCACCGCACAGCACACAGCAGCAGCAGCAGCATCAAAGACAAGGCGAGCAGCAGCGGGGCAGAGGTGGCAGGCAGCAGCAGGGCAGGGAAGGACATTCCTCTGCCGGTGCCCTTGTACCCCAGCGAGGTGCAGCAGGGCGGTGGCCAGTGGATGTGAGCCACCTGCGATCTCCCATTTGACTTGCCACTGCCAATCTCAATGCCTGCTCTTCGCCATCACCTACGAGTCCACTGCAACTCAGGGCATGTTCCTACACCTCCTGTCAGCCCCACCTCGTGTCACACTCTCATTGTACAGAGCGTTTCACACGTTTGATCTGGTTCAGTTCGGTGCAAGGTGAGTATGGCTCCAGCAGGGTGCTGTAGGAGCATGCCCCTGAAGTGAACACTGCTGTGTGTTTGAGTGAATTGGAAGATTTCAAACAGCAACATCAATGTTTTGAAATAATTAACACAATGAATCATCTTAATAATTAGTTGAGCAATGCCATTTGGAGAGTCATTTAGATCACTGATGTGGCCGAGATCATGGCATCTCCATCACCCCCACCAGCAGCATCCTCTTCAGCAGAGCGAGGGTGCGAGGTATGTGCGCGGCCCCCCATGGCGCTGATGCGATGGCACAGGCGGCACGGCAGAGTGTCAAACCCCATCCGCAGCGCTCGCTGCAGGCCCCCCAGCACTCCGCACCTGGGGGGTGAGGGGGAGGATGGGGAGTTGGGGGCGGGGGCCAGGCAGCAATGAGTGGGGGCACGGCGGAAGGAGTTGGCGCAAGGAGTGCCAGGCACGTGCAGAGGCACACACACAGGAACAGCACATGGCAGCGCAGTGCTGCAGGGGCTCTCACCGGCGCCAGGCGTGCAGAGAGAGGTACGCCGTGGCGTTGCCTCGCATGGCTTGCACGCGCTGCACTATGCTCTCCTCGCTCTCCGCCCCGCCCTCTATGAACGACTCCGGTGGGGCAAAAGTGCTCACGTCTGGCGCCCCGTAGTATATCGGCACACTGCCTGCCACGGAGGGAGGGGGGGAAGTGGGGAGGGAGGGTGGTGTGGTTTGCTTTACTTTGTTACTTTTGAGGGTTCAAAAAAGCGCGATAAGCATAGCGTGCTGCGGAATTGGATGGTGTGTGGGAGTGGAAAAAGGTGCGGAGAGGGGGTGCGGGGGCACCTGCGAGGAGGGGCAGGAGGAACTTCTCGGTGACGTAGGCGGGGCGGTGGTGGCGTTCGATAGCGAGGGAGAAGAGGAAGTGCGACTGTGCACACGCCAGCTCGCCCCACCACCCCGCATACGGTCCCCCGCGCGCCCCTCCTCCCCCCCCACCCCCAACTGCCTCGTCCACACCCGCCATCTCCCGATCCCTCGCCGTCCATCCTGCCCCCTCCTCCGCCCCCCCTGCACTCCCCTCTCCCCCCCCTCCCCCCTCCCTCTTCTCCCCCTGCCCTTCCTTCGCCCCTCCCTCCCCTTGCGCCACTACACTCCCCCTTCGGCCCTCCCTCACAGCCCCTGTCCCTTTCGCAACGGCTGCACCCAACAACCCCACACCTGCACCCCCTGCTCCCATTTGCCCTGCGCCCTGCGCCCCTGCCCCTTTGGGTGCGCGCGAGTACTGGCAGCGGGGGAAGGCGCGGTGCAGGGAGTGGCGCAGTGGGAGGGGCGTCTGCAGGCCGAAGCGGTGTGTGAGGGGGTGTGCCAGTAGCAGCGGTGCTGCTGCCGCCCGCCACGGCGAGTATCGTGACGAGGCGTGGAAGATGGTAAGAGCCTGGGGGGGGGAGGATGGGGAAGGGGGAGGAGCGCGGACAGAGCGGGTGGAAGAAGGAAATAGTGTAGCTGAGTGCTCAAACCTGCTCTGCCTTGAATTCCGTAATGCTAGTAAAGTGAAGCAAGGCGAGGAAGGAGCAAGAAGAGGAGAAGGCCAGTGCAGGAGCAGGAGCAGGAAACAGGGTGGCAGGGCACGCACGGGGGACTTGGAGGCAGCGATGAGGGGGTTGTGGTCGGCGAGCAGCAGGTTGCTGGCATACGAGCACTGCACGTCCGCCCCTGGCCCATACCCCACCGTCACATCCACTCCACTGCGCCCCCTCTCCCCCCTCTCCCCCTTCTTCCCTCGCCTCCATGGCCACGTGCACCAGCAGTGGCTCGCCCTTGACCCGGACCCCCCTGGGCGCGCCCCCCTCGTACAGCATGGCGTGTGGGCGCGCCGCCAGCACCTCACTGCGTGAGAGCGTGCAGGTGAGGCCGCAGGGGCACGTGAAGAAGCCCTCCAGCCACGACGGCAGCGATGACGACGCCATGATCTGCACCGCGTGGCGCCAGGGGCAGTGGGCATAATGCAAACAGAACGGTCACTCGCGGTTGTGGGACTTGTGAGAATCAGGGAGGCATTAGAAGCAGCAAGCTTGCGAGAGTGAAGGGGGACGGGGGGGCAGGTGGGGCATGTGAAGGTAGGGCGCACCTGCACAGTCACGTGGGGCAGTTTCAGCACCGAGCAGTCACTCGCCTCATCGCCCTGGAAGCTGCTGCTGCCGCCACCACTGCTGCTGCTGTGACCTGCACGGGTGCAGCACAGGAGAGTCAGACGCCCTGTTCGATAGCAGGGTAAACAGGCCAGTAATGGGCCAGGTTTGGGTGGGTTTTTGGCGGGAAACCAGGCTCGACTGGGGAAAATCGCAGAGCGACCTCCCTGCGACTGAGCTCGAACCACCTTCCCTGTCCCCCGTACAATGCCCACACGCCCCCCATTGTACACTGAAGGTGAACCACAGGCAAAACCGTGAAGGTGAACCACAGGCAAAACCGTGAAGGTGAACCACAGGCAAAACCGTCCCCCATTCCTCAACACCTGTTTCGACCAGTCTGAAAACGGGCTTCGAAAAAATCGGGTAAACCTATGGGCATATTGGCCAATCGCAAGCTCAGAAGGCCCTGACCGGGGCTTTATTTGATTTTCCATCTGCAATGAAGGGTAATGAGGAGGTTACTTCTGTGCTTCACCATCTCGGTTGAGATGGGTACTGGTTTTGATGTGTTCTGCCGCTAGTGTACGAGGATTTCATCCCCGGTTCATCTGGGCATTGCAGAATGAAACGCTGGTTTCAAATTTTTTGTTGCTTCAGGTTTGGGATGAAACGCACCGAACCAGCCCCACCCGTTACTCCCCCGTTGGCTATCGAACAGGGCCAGAGACTGCACATGTCAAACCACCCCTACCACCCCTTCCCACACACCCTGCCACCTACCAGACCTGCGTGTTTGGCTCGGAATCGCTCGCACCCCACGACTCGGTCCCACTCCCTCCACGCCTCCTCCACCCGCCACGCCACCCGCTCCGTGTCCGCCTCCTCAAGCCCCCACCTGCCCCCGCTCGCCCCCTCTGCTGCCTGTGCTGTGTCAGCCGCCCCATCACCACGCGCGCCCATACCCGGATGCTGACCCGCCCACCCGTCCGCCCCCATGGCCTCGCCCGCTCCCCCCTGCTCTGCGCTCCCCAGCCCCGCCATTCCCCCTATTCCCTGCTTTTCCCTCTTCCCCTGCGCTTGCTCCCCCCCCTGGCCCAGCATCTGATTCCCCCCATCTTCTTTACCCCGCCGGCTGCTGCCCTCGCCACCCTCGTCATCCGACTCATCAAACTCGCCACTCAGATCGCGCCACGTGTCACTCTCCCATCCCTCGCCTGCCGCCCACCCCGCCACAGACGACGGGGCGAGGGATTGCGAGGGGGGATCAGGCGCGGGCAATTGGGTCAGACGACGACGAGCGAGAGTGGGCGACAGCTGCGATGGCGAGGAGCGTGCAGGTGACGCGAGGTCTGCGACGGGAAAAGAGCGGACGAGGCAGAGGAGGCACAGCACGCACAGGAGCGGCGCGCGGAGAGGCGCGCGACGAATCCGCTGGGCGGGCATGTGGCGCGGGTGGGGGAATTCGGCGACGTACGGAGTGGTCATGCAGGTGACATCAGGGCTACTGCTGGCGGCGGCATGCGCACATGCGGGATGCGGGATGCGTGATGGTGGGTGGTGGTGGACTTGTGGAGGTGCGAAGGCTTGGATCTCTGTGGGGACAAGACAGGAGGCGAGGAGGTTTCCACGGAGCGCAGCCTCTGGTGTTGTGCAGGTGCAAGTGTGCTGACTCTCTGACTTGATGCGTGATGTCAAGTTCTTGTATGTTTGTGGATATATCGACCTAACATCACCAATAGATTCTTTGAGAGCATGGCAGAGCCAACATTCAGTGCATTGCCACAAGCATTGACATCTGTCAGGCAGCACAATGACTAGCCAGCTAACAAGCCAGCACGGCACTCCACTCCACGCCAGCAGTCTGGCCTTGCTGCCCTCCACTTCCACCGCCCTCTAGTGCCTGCAAGTAGACCAGGCACACAGCAGGGTGAGACAGCAGCAGTGGTCGCATTCCAAGGAACCACGGGCACAGACAAGAGCGGCAATGGTTGGCACAGACAAGAGCAGCAATGGTTTGCACAGACAAGAGCGGCAATGGTTGGCACAGACAAGAGCGGCAATGGTTGGCACAGACAAGAGCGGCAATGGTTTGCACAGACAAGAGCGGCAATGGTTTGCACAGACAAGAGCGGCAATGGTTTGCACAGACAAGAGCGGCCATGGTTTGCACAGACAAGAGCGGCCATGGTTTGCACAGACAAGAGCGGCCATGGTTTGCACAGACAAGAGCGGCCATGGTTTGCACAGACAAGAGCGGCCATGGTTTGCACAGACAAGAGCGGCCATGGTTTGCACAGAACAAAAAGTAGACAGGCGAGGAGGGCGGGGGCGGGAGGGAAGAGGGAGAAGGGGGAGCCAGGAGGAAGAGCTAGCATAAATTTTACAAGGAGAGGGCGGGGAGAAGCGGGGGGTGGTTGTGTGGGGTTGGAAGAGGTGTGGGGTGGGAAGAGGTGTGGGCATGGGAAGAGGTGTGGGCGTGGGAAGAGGTGTGGGCGTGGGAAGAGGTGTGGGCGCGGCACGGACCAGAGGGTGCTAGACGATGGAGTTGGCGGCGCTGGCGACACGAGGCCAGAGATCCGCGCACTCCTTGGCCACCGGACCCGTGATGGCCGACCCTGCCGAGCAGCACACGGACCACCAAAGACAGACAACAGCACACACGCACGGACCACCAGCACGCACGCACGCACGCACACGCAAGCCGGATAGACAGTTAGGGCGCGTAGCAAGAGACGAGCAAAGGCATGGTGGGTGCAAGCAATGGGCGGTGACGGAAGGGCGTGGAACGCGCGGGGCACGAGGCCGTGACTCACCTTTCATTTCTCCTTTCGGGTTCACGATGACTCCCGCATTGTCTGCACCACACAACCACCGCACATACACGCAGCAGCCACGTCAGCAATGGCTCAAACAGAACGCGAGCATAGAGAACACGGAGCGCCACGAGTGCTGGAATTCCGAAAACCGACAGACGTACTGACAACCTCTGGCTTTTAACGGCTCTAGCGCGCAGTGTCACGCAGCCGCACAGTAAGGGCCCAATTTACTTGCTTCCATCCAACCCTGATTGGCCCTACTCTGCCCTACCTTCCCTTACTTCGCCCTACAGAAAACAGCAGCGCCTGACCTTCGAAGTACATGAAGACGCCGTCCTTTCTGCGCCACGGCTTGCGCTGCCGCACGATCACCGCCGGTAGCACTGCGGCGGGGGACAAGGGGGGAGTGGTGCGGGTGGCGGGTGAGGAAGCGGAATGACATAGATGAGCGCATGGCAGCACGAGCCGGACAAAGCGGGCAGCGAGATCCGGAGCTTCCAGAGGCTGTCGACAACGAGATTGCCACCCGCCTCTAAACCCTAGATTACGGCGCGAGTAGACGAGCGCATTTGCCCACAATCTCCACTACACCACAAACCCTAAAACAGCACATCGCTCTCCCAGGCAGCCGGGCCGGCACTAGCAACGCTCACCCTTTTTACGGAGGTCGGGCTTGCCCTTCTTGACCGTGGCCATGACCATGTCGCCCACGGCGGCGGCCGGCAGGCGATTGAGGCGGCCCTTGATGCCGCACACCGACATGATGAAGAGGTTCTTGGCGCCAGTGTTGTCCGCGCAGTTCACCACCGCCGCCACCGGCAGACCCAGAGTCACTCGAAACTTGGCTCCCGTCGTCGTTCCACCTGCCACGCAACACCCACACACCGCGCCGCTGCATTTCAGACTTCACCGCGAGCAACCAACTTTTAGGGTAAGACCGCAGGGAACTAGTACACAGCTTTGAACGAATCTGAAGCTAAACTATTACTCGGTAGAGCGCCAGACTACTACAGGCGAAGCGACTTGAGACGGGTAGTTAAGCAGAAAAAGGGACGACAGTGACGGAAAGGTAAGGTGTAGACGTGCTTGCCTCGTTTGGTCGCCATGGCTGCGTGCTAACCACCTACGAAAGAGATCAGAAAGAATGAGAAGCGGCAGATAAATAGGACAGAGGGACCTGCTGAGAGGCGTTCGATCTTCTACCATCGACAAACATGGACCGTCGATGCTCACGTTTGAGGGTTTGGCTCGCGTTGAGGTTTCCAGAGTCGGAAAACTGTCGCGAATCTACATTCAACGGATTTACAATACAAGCTGTAATGATATTCTTAAAACAAAACACATTCATATTTGTGGGCGTCTATTTGGAAAGAATTTCAAGCGCAACTTCCTTCAAAGACGGCATCTTGTCTTGTTTGTGGATGCATATCAGCTTGCCGTTTGCATCCTCCCGCAATACTTGCCACGGTCCTGGATAGGCCCTGCACCAATCAATATATAGAGATTTATAACATAGGAAACCAAGCCAATACATTGCTCAACTCAATCATTTGTAACGTACCTGTATAGTTTGCCTCCAAACCGTCCTTTGAAGTTATGAATGTAATAAGCAGCTTCGAAGAGTGGAAGAAGGCTCTTATTGATTTTAGCCAGTTTTGGGTAAAAGAATGACGGGTAGTCTGCCAAACCAAAGGAAAAAACAATGCACGGTCTTTGAGATGAAATGCATATAAAATCTTAAGAACTTAGCAATGCTTCAATACAGGTAACTGGTTTATGATGCTAGGGTTGACGAAGTAGGAATAATGCCATGGTACTTGCTTTCCTTCATGCGACTCACATCCTGATCGGATCCGATCAGCTCCCCATTGAAGACAATGATTGGCTGCCCCTTTTTGCTCGCCACGTCACGGTACAGATCATCAACCGCCAACATTTCTGCACTCATGGTACTTGGGAGACATGACAGCAAGGCATAAGATCAGCAGCAGAGAGCAATAGGCTTCCAGGCATGAAGCGGCAAATACGGTGATCTCACAGAGCAGCACAGGGCATGCGGTGATCTCACAGTGCAGCACAGGGCATGCTGTGATCTCACAGTGCAGCACAGGGCATGCTGTGATCTCACAGTGCAGCACAGGGCATGCTGTGATCTCACAGTGCAGCACAGGGCATGCTGTGATCTCACAGTGCAGCACAGGGCATGCTGTGCAGCACAGCAGAGTCGCCAGTGTGAGAGGGGAAGCACGCACCGTTGACGTTGAAGTAGGGGTAGGCGGCCACAAAGAGGCGGTCGGAGGCGGCCACGCGGTCAGCGAGGGGCAGCTTGCGCGAGAAGCCGATGTCCTCCAGCCCCGTGGGCTTGGTCAGGCAGTCCAGGGGGAACGCCGTGTCCTCAAACACTTCCTGCGCTGCCGGCAGCTCGTTGGCGTCTGGGAAGAACTGTGGCGTGCGGTGCCGTGGTGCGGTGCAGTGGTGCAGGCGTAAAGGGGTGAGAGACGGGGTAGGGGAAGCCATTAGCATGCAGGGAGAAGGATGGGGTAGGGTCAGAAGGGAGATTGGAAGAGCAGGGAAAGTCAGGGAGGGGCAGCGGGAGGGGCATGGTAGGGAGTGACTCACAAGGCGCACGGAGGAGGGCGGGGGGCCTTGAGCGGCGAACATGAGGCAGTACTGGCGCAGCAGTCGCATGCTGCTCGTCATCTCTATCCCCCCCTCCGCATCGCCTGCCCCCACGACTCAGGACGAGTGCCCAGCCAAGGCGAGGGAAGCATGGGGCAGAGGTGGGTGGAGCAAAGGGGGGCACCCAAGCAGGCAAGCATTAAAAAATGAGGACAGGACAGGGCAACAGGGAACAACACAAGTTGCAATGTGCGGCATGTGTGGCATGATAGCGTGTGTGGCATGATAGCATGTGTGGCATGATAGCATGTGTGGCATGATAGCATGTGTGGCACGATAGCATGTGTGGCATGATAGCATGTGTGGCATGATAGCATGTGTGGCACGATAGCATGTGTGGCATGATAGCATGTGTGGCATGATAGCATGTGTGGCATGATAGCATGTGTGGCACGATAGCATGTGTGGCATGATAGCATGTGTGGCATGAGAGGAGAATGAACCCACAGAGCACAGCACACACCTGGCACGGAGTCAAGGCTGGCGGTGGGGAACTCCACCTCCTGGTGGGCGGCACAGTGGCATCATGGCAGCAAAGCACAGCCGCAATGCGCTGGTGAGCGGCCAATCCGGTAGCACGAGGTAATGCGAGAGGTAATGCGAGAGGTAATGCAAGAGGTAATGCGAGAGGTAATGCGTCGATAAGAGGAAATGCAGTGCTACAGGGACATGCAGTGATAAGAGGAAATGCAGTGCTACAGGGACATGCAGTGATAAGAGGTAATGCGACTGTACTGTGCGGTAACTTTGTGTGCATCTCACCAGTAGCGAGCGGCCGTCGGCGAGAGCTGCTTGAGTGGCTTGCTGCGCCTGTGACACGGGGAGCACACACGCCACCACGCACGCATCATGATTGCTGAGGTGGCACCACGGACAGCTAGGAATATCAACCAGGTCGCCACCATCGTGGCATGCGCGCGCGCATGGACGCACATTGCCATGCGCACACTGCCTCCGCGCTAACGGCCTCTGCGCACATTCCTTGCTGCGCGCGTTACCTGTCGGATGGCCTCGTCGTAGTCGCGCGGGAACGGCGCCAGCTCGCCGCCGCCTGCCGCCGCCACCGCGAGGGTCGCCGTCGCCCTCACCGCGCGCTGGCGGCGACCGCGGGGGCCCGAAGTGCATCCATGGTCGTGGGGGGAGAGGGCGCCAGCGAGGGCGGTGCGCGCATGCAATGCTGCGCGCAGCGGGAAAAATGCGGGCAGGCGGCGGTCGCTAGCGAGGAGAGCGCAGGACTGAACGCGCGCTGGAGGAGCGGCGCTTGTGGGGGAAGCAGTCGCGGCAGGTACGAGGGGGCAGGCGACGGAGAGAGCGGAGAGTGGCATGGTGGCGGGCTGGCATGGGTTGGGAGTGATGAGAGGCGAGCCTTGGGATTATCAAGTACTGGGATTTTCTGTATACGCGATTGTAAGTTGAGAGTGATAATCATATGGTTGCAAAACGTGGAACTGTACAAGCAAATCAAGCATGGCTAAGCATTAATTACCTAGCGCATACCTAGCAATACTTTAAATAATGACCGCAGAGCCAACGGATCCTTCCTATTTCAACTAATCACCCTTACCCCCCCGTGATCTCATCATATCATATCCAGCACGCGCCGTAGCTGGTCCCTAACAATGGCCATGTCAGGGCGGTTGTCACGCTCGTACAGGATGGCGGAGCGGATGGTAGCCAGCACGATGGCGCTGGCAGCGGGCTGCCACTGCCCCGCCAGCACCGGGTCCAGCACCTGTGAGGGGTCCGCCTCGCGTGCCACGGCCACGGCCTTGCGCACTGCCTTGAAGCGCGGGCCCTGCGCTGATGCCCCCGACACGAGCTCCAGGAGGAAGATGCCGAACGCATACGTGTCTGATAGACGCGTCAGCGTGCCTGGCAGGCAGCACACAGCAGTGGGGGGGTGGGTGGGTGGGCAAGTGGGAGGGATGGAGCCAAGGCAGCGCAGCACGGCAAGCGGAGACGTGAAATTCCATCAGATGAATGCACGAAAGGTGTGGTGCAATGCTACTGTGCATGTGGCATGTGCAATGCTACTGTGCATGTGGCATGTGCAATGGGGACAGCATGGGGAGGCAGGGCACGGACCGGAGTCAAAGTAGGCGGGGTCGATGTAGGACATGGAGGAGGCGCCCCTCATCTGCACGTGCATCTTCCAATCCGCCACCACCCTCGCCAACCCATAGTCCGCCACCACTGCCGTCCCGTCCTGCTCCGCACACAGCAACAGCAGGGGAAGGAGAAGGGAGGGTTGGTGACGGAGGGAAGCGAACATCTTCCTTTTATCAGGCAGAACACGATTGGCCTAGCCATGGTGCTCCGGTGAGGGCGAAAGATGGAAGGACGCAGCAGCAGCTCACGGGTTGTAGGAGGACGTTGGAGGCTTTGAAGTTGCGGTGCACAAGGTTGAGTCGGTGCAGCTGTGCCAACACGTCCGCACACGTGAACGCCATCTGCACCCGCTCCCGCCATGGAAACTGCACCTCTCCCCGCGCCACTGCACCGCACAGATGTGCAGGAGGGGGGAAGGGAGAAGGAGGAGGGGGTGAGGTTACTGCATGGCAGACACTGGATCGGCATGGCACAACATGTGATCACACTGGATCGGCATGGCACAACATGTGATCACACTGGATCAGCATGGCACAATATGTGCCATGGCATGCATGATCATGAACGAATGAGCTGCAGGCGACGCACCTCTGGCCATGAGTTGCAGGCGACGCACCTCGTGCCATGAGCTGCTCCACGGTGCCGCCTTCAATGAAGTCACAGATGATGATGGGCGGCCGCTGCGCCACGTACCCGTGCACACGCAGCAGACTCGCATGCCGCCCCTCCTCCTCCACCAGCGCGCACTCGTGCTGTCCGTGTCGTGCCATGTTTCATGTGGTACGTGGCATGTGGCATGTGGCATGTGGCATGTGGCATGTGGTATGGGGGCAGGGGCACGGAGCAACGGGGGATGCAAGTGAGCTGGCGGCACAACCACTGAGTGCATCCATGCTTGCATCATCTCCTTGCCCCTCCCTCCCTCCCCCTTTCCCCCACCGCCTCTTCCCCCCCTCCCTCCGCACCACCTCACCGCGAAGGTCGCGAGGCCCCCCACGCCCGTGACGGGGTCGCCGTTCAGCACCTTCACCGCCACCGGGATCAGCGCGCGCGCCCCCGCGCCCTCTGCGCCCTCCCCCTCTGCGCCGTCCCCCTCTGCGCGCGCGACGTGCGCCCACATGAAGCCCTTGTACACGAACCCGAACGGGCCGCGCCCCGCGAGCGCCTTGAAGCCCTCCGTGGCGTGCAGCGCGTCCTCAAACGCGTACTCGCGCACCAAGCCCCGCCCGCGCTCCCCCTCCCCCGCCGCCCGCACCGTGGGGTACACAGGGTCTGGCGCGCGAGAGGGGGAAAAGGGGAAGAGGAAAAGGGGGGTGGGGTGAGAAGGGGGCAGTGGGTGACTTCTTGAGCGGAGAGGAAGGTGGATAGCACCAGTTGAGTGGAGTAGGCCGTTGAACCGGTCTACATCGGTGCATGCGGCGATAGCGCGATTGGCGGTCACGGCGAGTCGTTGCTAGTGAGCGAATGATGGTGGCATTGGAACTGGTGGCGTTTAAAGAGAGGGGAAGGCGGGCAAGAGGGAGAGAGAGCGAGGCCGGGGGCGGGGCAGCGTCGTACGCAGTTCACCGTCGCCCACTGGTCGCGAGAAGAGCCCGCCCATGACGCTGCGCGGCGCCTGGCGACGGGCTGGCACTCGGATAGTCGCCGGCTGGCTCGACGGGCGATGTCTGGTAGTCACGCGCAGGTGAGTCGCGGTGACGAAGAGAACGGATGGCTAAGATGTGGCTATCTCACGTGGCCTGAACTGGAGTGACGTGAGGTCCGTAAGTTATGCAGTCGATCATGGTTCATCGTGGCGTGAAGGCCGCAAGCTCAACTCTGCACACTCGACTCGCCGCATGAACCTCTGTCTAAAACGAATCGGCTAACAAGGGGATTGATGTCGTGAAGTTCACGTGTGTGCGTCGTAGTCGCCTAAAGATTCCTAACTTGGACTCGAGCTTCTGGAAAATACTTGACACTGCTACCTCGATATTGGCTTTCCAATGACCCCAGCTGCGTCATACTGAAGTGCCTCACGGCTCCTCTCCTCGCTTCAATGCATCGTGCGCTACTGCCGTTGACCGCACCCAGCTGGATTGGCCGGGTACCCGCCATTCACGAAAGTCAAGTCAGACTCGCGAAACAGTCACGATCGCCAGCGACATGCAACCAGCGTGCTGCTGCGAAACAGTGGTTTCTGAAACAGTGGTGTTCCCAAGGTTCGGTCGGTTGGCGGGAAAAGTTGTGTTTCGCGGGTGTCGCAAACACTTGCACTTCGTCTCGCCCAGCCACATACCTGAATACAAAATATCTTTCACTCCCAGCGACCACCACGACCGTTTTGTTGAGGCTTTCACGGACACAGCACGAACGTCAGTGGACCAGGGGACGCGGCTTAGGACCGACGAATGGCTTCCATGAGCAGACTTGACAGGCCTGGGGTATCCCTTATGTATTGGTCCCAATGACCGTTATGCAGTGCAGTTGACGATCGTCCCAATCCGCAGCAAATAGGAGCGACTGACCCAACCCTCGGCATTCCCGAGGACGTGCCCCAGACCGAGCAACTTGCTGACTTGCGCCGGCTGCTAACTTATTGCACACGCGCCACGCGCGGTAGACGAGTCGAGAGTACCGTGCGAGAAGGCCCCAGTCGAGACTCACATCAGGTTGACCCGCCTCTCACTGCCCGCTCCACCCGTGCCGCGTGGCGCTTGTTTCGACCGCCACGTGGCAATGGGATGCGCAGCGTCGCATGCGAGAGGTTCTGAAACGCCACCGCCACCGCGGCTGGGATCGTCGCGATCAGGTGACGCGTGCTGGAGGCTCGCTCCGTAGCAGGTCAGGTGGGAGGCAGTAGGGAATGCGCGCTGCAGCAGAATAGGTACGCTGCAGTACCGATGGCGCGACCGCGATAGCGTCCAGCACCCGCGCGTACTGCCAACGACGTCACGCCGCCCACCCCCTCAAATCGTCCCCCTTCCCCCCCTTTGCCCGCCATCCTCTCTGCCCCTCCCCCGTCCCCCGCACGCTCTCTCCTTTTCGCTCCCCCGCGGACCTCCTCCCCCCCCCTCAGACCCGCGGTCGCCGTACCCGGTGCGCAAGTCCGCGGAGGCGGGCGGTGGAGTGTGCGAGTACAGCTACCAGGAGGTGCACGCCGCCACGGGCGGGTTCCAGCACGAGGTGGGGCGCGGCGGGTTCGGCGTGGTGTACCACGGGTACCTCGCGGAGCCGCACGGCGCGCAGCCCGGCGGCAAGGGCGGGGGCGTGTGGGCGGTGGCGGTGAAGCTGATGAGCGGCGAGCACATTGCCAATGGCATCGACAGCTTCATGGTGCGCCGCACACAGGGGAGGCGCGAGGGGGTAGGGGGTGGATGGGGGGCGAGGAGGGGAGAATTGTGGGATGGGGGGAGGGTAATCGTGGGGAACAAGCGGGGCTGATTTGGCTGTTTACTCGTGAGCTACTGCCCTGCTTGTCAGCTTTTTCTCGGCCAATCTAATCCCTCCGTGCTTGGTGGCATGGGCATGGTGGCATGGCGGCATGGTGGCATGGGTGAATGGGAGCATGGTGGCATGGGCGCATGGGCGCATGGTGGCATGGTGGCATGGTGGCATGGTGGCATGGTGGCATGGTGGCATGGTGGCATGGCAGACGGAGGTGGCGGTGATGGCGAGGGTGCACCATCCCAACATCTTGCGCCTGGAGGGGTACGTGGTGGGAGCCACGCCCATTCTCATCTACGACTACATTCCCAATGGGGACGCCGCCTCCTACCTCGCCAAAGGTGCCTCCCGCTGCCCAACCCCTCCTACCTCTGCCAAAGGTGCTCCCACGCTCACATTCCCCAGTCTCCATGCATCCCCCCAGTCTCCATGCATCCCCCCGGTCTCCATGCATCCCCCCGGTCTCCATGCAACCCCCCGGTCTCCATGCAACCCCCCGCTCTCCATGCATCCCCCCGGTCTCCATGCATCCCCCCGGTCTCCATGCATCCCCCCGGTCTCCATGCATCCCCCCGGTCTCCATGCATCCCCCCGGTCTCCATGCAACCCCCCAGTCTCCATGCATCCCCCCGGTCTCCATGCATCCCCCCGGTCTCCATGCATCCCCCCGGTCTCCATGCATCCCCCCGGTCTCCATGCATCCCCCCGGTCTCCATGCATCCCTTATGTTCTCCCGCTCCCCCGCGGCGCAGCTCGGAGTGGAGAGGTGCAGTTCACATGGAAGGACAGGCTGAAGGTGGCGCTGGGGTGTGCGGAGGCGCTCACAGCCATCCATGCCAATGGCTTTGTGCACCGCGACTTCAAGGCGCCCAACGTGCTGCTCCGGGAGGTAAGTCACGCCCCTCATGTGCTGCTCAGGGAGGTAAGTCACGCCCCTCATGTGCTGCTCCGGGAGGTAAGTCACGCCCCTCATGTGCTGCTCCGGGAGGTAAGTCACGCCCCTCATGTGCTGCTCCGGGAGGTAAGTCACGCCCCTCATGTGCTGCTCAGGGAGGTAAGTCACGCCCCTCATGTGCTGCTCCGGGAGGTAAGTCACGCCCCTCATGTGCTGCTCCGGGAGGTAAGTCACGCCCCTCATGTGCTGCTCCGGGAGGTGCATGCTGCTCCGGGAGGTGAGCCCCCCATGTGCTGCTCTGCGAGGTGTGTGCTTTTAAGGGAGGAGGCACCCGTCATGCATGCACTGCAAAACCACATGAGGCGCACTTCCATCACCTCTAACCCCTCTCATCGCATTCCCTGTGCCCGCCCGCCACAGGACCTGACGGCAGTGGTGGCGGACTTTGGGTTGGCGCGAGCAGTGGACGACTGGAAGACACACGTGGAGACGAGGGTGATGGGGTCTGTGGGGTACATCGACCCCATCTACTTCGAATCAGGTGCGCCGCCCCCCTCACTTTCTGCCATCCAACATTGCACTCATTCCCTTGTGGTTAAAATGACCAGCCAGTTACAGAGGCATTCCTGAAGATTACTTTCTGATATGCTTGCGTTGTGCTTTCCCCCCTGCAGGCAACCTGAGTAAGAAGTCTGACACATATGCGTTTGGGATCTTCTTCCTCGAGCTCATCTCGGGCACATCTGCCCTGGACAGCAATTTCAAGGAGCTACGGCGCCTCGTGACAGGGAATGACTACCCCGATGCTGCTCTTGTGATGGACCCACACCTGGCGGGGCAGTGGCACCTCAAGCACGTGCTCGTGGCGTTCACACTCATCAAGTTTGCTATCTTCTATGATTGGGAAACTAGACCAGGGATGGACGTTCTTATAAGAAAGCTCAAGGATATTGTGTCTGAAGTTGAAGCAACATCTGGACTTAGAAACTTGTGAGAAGCTTAATAGCTTAGTCCAGTGTTTTTATTTGCTAAATTAATTAGAAAGCTGCGTGAGCTGGTGATTGAGGACCTCCAGGTGCAGAGGTGAAGCAGCTACTGGTGGTGGCCTTTACCCTCGCAATGTTTGCCATTTTCTTGGACTGGGACTGGTGGTGAGAGCTCCTCCCATGCCTTATGTTTAGTTTGTGTCGTTACCACAGGTCAGAATGCACATCAGTAAAATCTTTGTAATAGAACTGCATTTCACAAGGGATATTTACAGAACTGTAGGTGAATCAATCTAGGTGAAGTTGGACCTTAAATTGCAAAGATGGGTGGGTGTATTGTTATCGGCACACCGTAATTCCTGTCTTTTGCGTGCGCTTATATCGCGAATTGGGTTCGCGTTTCAGCAATAATTCACTCCTCCAGACATTGACTCCTGCCCGCACTCGCCGGCAACAGTCTCGCTCGTTCGTTTCCTACGCCTCCGCGATTCGCATCCCATTTCATCCTCTTCCCAACCCACCATCATTGCCCCGCGCACCACATGCACTATTTCCCTTGGCTCTCGTGACCTATTTCTCACCCATCCCCGTTTCTACAGCTACTTCTTTCTTCCACCCTTTCCACTAGCCCTTGTTCCTCCAGTCAGCACAACGAATTGCCCGCACCAGACACACGCGCTTCCCAGCTTCGATAGAACACATCGCTCTTCGGTGAAACTTTTGGTTTAACTCAAAGGCGGTGTCAAGACACAGTAGCCCGCTCGCCAGTCCAAATCGGAATTCTGCGGCGTATCACAAATCTGCGCACATCTCAACGAATCGCATCGCACCGCATCGCATCTCACACACATGGCGTTCGACCAGCCGTGGGTGCCCGAGGGCGCGTGGACCACGTCCGTCTTCGCGTGCTGCGACGACATCCCCTCCTGTAAGCACGCCGCGCTTCTCTCCGCACCCATGCCCTCGCATCACTGCGCGTGCCCCGCTTAGTAACTGACCCTTAACGCGCTCATTTTGGCCCGTTGCCGTGGTCTCGCTTGTGTGTGCGCAGTGTGCTGCGCGGCGTGGTGTCCGTGTGTCATGGTGGGGCGCAACGCCGAAATCGTCACCGATGGATTCAGAGGTGACCCCGCCGCGCCCCTCACACCATACTGACACGTCGCGCTCCAAGTAGTAATACTATTAGAGCGACCTCGCACATATCTTCGCCACTTGATTCACCCACTCTATCCCTCGCTCGTCGTTCCCCGCGTCTCGCAGACCCCTGCCGTGCGTGCGTCGGGTGGGCGCTCCTCCAGCTTGCCTGCAGCGGCGCTTTCTTCGCTCGAGGTCAGCCTTTCCGCCCTTCTCTCCCCGCGCTCTACCCCCTACTCCCTGTCTGCTCACTTCATTTAGTGTTTCACTGTGTAAAGTCGTTTTGTGTCATCACACCGCACACGTTCGTGTGCCTTGCCCCGCGCGCTGCAGATTTCCGAAAGCGGCTGCGCGAGAAGTACATGCTGCCGCAGCGGCCGTTCAGCGACTTCTGGATGCACTGCCTGTGCGCGTGCTGCGCCATCGCGCAGGAGCACCGCGAACTGCGCAACCGCGGCTGGGACCCCGCGCTAGGTGCGTTGCATCGCATGACGTGTCATAACTAGCACCCACTGCTTCTGTACTTCAATCTTCGCACCTATGTGCACTCACACTCACTTGATGTTCCTTTCGCCTCCCCTCGTGGCCTCTCAGGCTATGCGGGCAACGTGCGCAGGTTCCAGGCGTGCTCCCCACCCCCACAGATGGAAATGCTCGCCGACCAGTAGCAGCTGAACCCTCCACAGCCCCTGTACACTACCACTGCTCTCCTATCCTCCTCAGGCTCTAGAATAGAAGCTTCTTAGGTACTGGGCATTTTGCATCACATATTGCTGTGCATATAGATGTATTTACATTGAACAAATGCTACAACAGCTTGCCTGTGCAACAAGGTCCGATCGTTGCTTATAACGCTACCAGTGCTGCCCCGCGCTCAGCATGACGGTCTACCGAGGCAACTTGCTACGCGGCTGTCAGCCTCCAATCAGCACGCGGACTGCCGTGCATGCTCGCCCACAGGCTGCCACCGCGCCAGCCGGGGTTTCCCGGCGAGACCTCCAGCGGCGGATGCGGCAGCTCCGGCCCCTCCGGCACATGCGGCGGGCCGGGGATCTCCGGGATGTCCGGCACCACGTCAGGCGGCGTCGGCACCTCGGGAATCTCGGGGGTTCGCTCTGGAGGGTTGGGAATCTCGGGGAGTTCGGGAATAATGTCGGGTGGGTTGGGGGACGGAACTTCGGGCGGGGGGAAGGGCGGAAGGTTTGGCGGAGGGGTTGGGGTAGGGGCTCCGGGGGGTGGGATGGGGACGGCTTCGGGGGGTGACGAGGGCTGGGGGACTTCGGGGGGGATGAGCGGGGGGACGTTGGGCATGGGGATGGGAGGCGCTTTCGGGACAATCTCGGGGCTCGCGGGCTGCCCTCCGCCACGGCCCGGCACCTCCGTGGGCAGGTCGGGACCTCCGAAGACGTGGATGCCCGCGATGCCGCGCACGCACTCCGCCGCTGATGGGTCGCGCGAATACTGCAGCGGCGGGGACTGTAAGAGGGACGCATCCAGTGTGCACGCCCGTTTGCTGTGCGCTGACACGACTTGCACGCACGAGCTCAGACCTGGGGAGAAGTTACGCGCGATTGAAGCGATTGATGGGGGGTGCGAGTCTGCCATGTGACAGATGGGCCTGCCGAAAAAAAAAAAAAAAAAAAAAAAAAAAAAAACATCTGAAGGATGAATTCGGCAGGTTGATACTGAGTTTCAAATTTATTATAGATCAGAAGACTTAGAGACCTACCTCACCAAGGAAGAGCGGATGCACGGCCACGCCATGGATGGGCAAGAAAGCGCCATGGAGTTCTGATGTGGGGCTATGGACCGTAGTGTGAAACGGAGACGGGAGTAGTGGTGCTGTGGGTGGGGCAATCGACAAATGCAGGCGCTAATTTCTTGATGGGGAGGAATTTCATCAAGGGTGCTCAATTTCACAAATCCTAAGACAGATTGCTCTACTGATGTGCATGGCATCTGTGGGTCGCAAATCCGTTGCGGATAAAGTCTACATCACAACCTTTGTACTAGGGGAATGCACCAAGACAGAGCACCTTATGGCGTCATGAAGGCGGCAAAACTATATCAGAGCGAGATTTCGATCCTTGGACCTGTGGGTTATGGGCCCACCACGCTTCCGCTGCGCCACTCTGATATGTTTGTTAACAAAAACGTTAACATTACAGTACTGTTTAACTTGCTCATTAGCCCTTCCCACGTTATCTTTCACCTGGAAGAGCATTTCAACTATGGCGGTGCGTAGAGACAATGTCCGTCGTCGCGTCGCACACAATTCGGTCTTACCTTTCGCCGTCCTCCCTCCATGCTCATTCCGCGCTCGCCCTCTCTCACCCTTCCCCGCGCAGGCCGCGAAGATCCCGGTGGAGCTACAGCTGGCGGCGGACGAGGCGGCGTGGCTCGCCCAGATGGCCGCCACGCACGGGTTGCCCGACGCTGGTGCGTCGCGCCGCACTGCCATGGGGAATTACGCATGCGTGCATGCATGGGGGGAGGGGGAGAGGGTGCAAGGGTTGCTGTTGATGCTGAATGTGGTGATTTGTGGCGCATTCGCCAACGAAAGAACGGTCCGTCGCATGTGTAACCGCCTTTCGCTCTCCCTTCTCCCACCATCTGCTCCCTGTCGCCGCGCGCAGGCAAGGCGCTGCGCATCGTGCTGACGTATGCCAGGGACGAGAATTTGGGGGCTCTGGGCGGCAAGGAGGTATGGCATGCTGACGTATGTCACCGTAGTGTGCAGTTCCCATGCCAGTCCATGCGCTGTATCCTAATGCTCGCCATGCCATGCCATGCGATGCCACGGATTCTCAGTGTGCGCCATTGCAACGTGTGTGGTGTGGTGTCATGGCAGGGCCTCCAGTCACCCTCCTCATCGCTCGCAACCCACTCATTCGAAATCGAGTCTTTCGTGAGTCACACCTGCCCTGCCCCCTTCCTGCCGTGCCAACTCCCCGCCTGCCATGCGTGCCCCTTCGTGCCATGCGTGCCATGCGTGCCATGCTTGCCATGCCTGCCCACCCCCCTCGTGCTGCAGAGTCCTGTGCTCACATCAACTGCGTCTGTTCTCGCCTGCACTGCCATCGTCTGTTCTCGCCTGCACTGCCATCGTCTGTTCTCGCCTGCACTGCCATCGTCTGTTCCATGCGCCCGTGCCAAAGTACCTTTGCCTTTCCTCTTGCATACAAGTCATGCCATCACTCCTTGCCGTTGCCATCGCCCCCCGACGTTGCCATTCGCGAGCATCAGCATGAGGACGTTTTGAAGAAGATACAAGAAACTAACAACTGCGACAGCGTTAGTGAGGTATGCTGCCACGTGTCATGATGTGCTGCCTCGTGCTACTCTGTAACTGCCACGTGTCATGATGTGCTCGCACATGCCATGGTCAGCGCTGACATGCTGTTGTGCGCCATCAGATGCCACAGCAACCTGCACGGCACACTGTTGTGTCACTCTCTATCACCCACTCATCTCCACCCCCTCTCCACCACACCACCCCCACCACGCCTCTCTTTTCGCCCTGTGCCCGTCCTCTCTCTCGTGCAGGCGGTGCGGGTGCTGCTGCACCACGTGCAGGCAGGTGTGTCAGAGGCAATCCTCTTTGGCCTCGTGCGCTGCAAGTGCCCCCTCAACTGCACCTCCTGCCCCGCCCACGCCGCCGCCGCTGCTGCCAAGGCTGCACCCTCTGCTGCGCCTGCCGCTGCTGAGTAGGTGCCACCAGCAGGCGGGTCAAGGGCGTTTATTGCTTATTGCTGTAGGTCCAATTATATGCCTGCGAGCTGCTCTCTGTAGGCTTGCAGATGTGGCTTTCAGTGCCGGAGAAATGTAGCTTTCAGTGTTTCTGTGTTTCAAAGAATGGCGGAACTGGGTTGCTCATTTTGAGTCATCTGTGGTTGTGAGGCATGAGTGCAGGCATTAATGAGCTCAGCAGGGCAGGCAGGCAGCAGCATGGATGTGAAGCAGGAAGGCAATGCTGGTGCTCTAGAGAGAGGCAACACGGTGATGATGTGAATGCATGGCGGTTGTGGCAGTGGACTGTGCTGGTTCAGCGCAACCCTCACAGTGCTGTGTACACAGACGGGACACAGAAGTAACAATGGGATGTAATGCTCGTGCTACCTACGGTACCGATACGGTATCTGCATGCCCCAACCTGCTCCTCACCTCCCATGCGCAGCACATCTCCCACATGCCAATGTGCGATGCTTTGCAAGCAACTATTTGTTGCTGTGAAAAAAACGCACAACAGTGCTTCGTATTGAGCTCCAGGCTAGGTGTGACTTGGTGCACTTGTGGGCATTGTGTTATCCGCCCCTTCCCTTCAGTCAGTAAAACAGCAGTTTCCACAACATTCGTCAGCAGGGCACAGACATTTGCCTTTCAAAGTCAACCATTTTCGCCACTGGGAAGTTCCACCCCAAGAATCTGCCTCCCCTCGATTTTGGTAGCAGAGACGCAGCTAGAGGGCGAGAGAGGTAGCAGAGACGCAGCTAGAGGGGGAGAGAAGTAGCAGAACGCAACTTGAGGGGGAGAGAGGTAGCAGAGACGCAGCTAGGGGCTGTGAGGGCAGGGCGCCGCTGCTCTGGGGGGCTGTGAGGGAGAGGCGCCACTGCTCCGGGGGGTTGTGAGGAGGAGGCACCGCTGCTCTGGGGGGTTGTGAGGGCGAGAAGACAAGGAGAAGACATAAGGACAATGAAAAAGGGACGAGGAAAGGAGGGAAATGAATAGGGGATGAGGCGAGAAGGGAAGGGCAAATGCAACAACACGAAAATGACAAGTCAACCAGGGAAAATGACAAGAGGGTGGGAGGAATAACACTTCCCCTGAACCTCCACTCGCGCTGAACAGCTCACTGAGGGAAAATCACTGTGAGTGCAGTACGAAGAGCAATCAGGCTGAGTAGCAGGTAGAGCAGGCAGCAGCAGCAGACAGATGGAGAGCAGGGGGATGGTTGGAGAGCAGGGAAATGGTTGGAGACCGGGGGGAGACTGGGGGACGCACGCATGGCATGAATGCACTCCCTCTCCACTACTCTATCCCACCACTCCCACGACACTGCACTCTACATGAGCTCTGCTGCCATAGCACCACGGACCACCACCACCATGCGCCAAGGGACGGATGTGCCTTGAGATTTGCCAAGAGTTAAAGAGACGGATGGGGAGCGATGGAAGACGGGGGGGGCGGAGAGGAAACTTAGCTAAGGAGAAGCGTAGAGGCTGAAAGTGACTCGTCCCATTCATGCCATGCGCGCCCTCCTCTCCAACATGTAGCTGCAGCTGGTGAGTTGTAGCTGCAGCTGGTGAGTTGTAGCTGCAGCTGGTGAGTTGTAGCTGCAGCTGGTGAGTTGTAGCTGCAGCTGGTGAGTTGTAGCTGCAGCTGGTGAGTTGTAGCTGCAGCTGGTGAGTTGTAGCTGCAGCTGGTGAGTTGTAGCTGCAGCTGGTGAGTTGTAGCTGCAGCTGGTGAGTTGTAGCTGCAGCTGGTGAGTTGTAGCTGCAGCTGGTGAGTTGTAGCTGCAGCTGGTGAGTTGTAGCTGCAGCTGGTGAGTTGTAGCTGCAGCTGGTGAGTTGTAGCTGCAGCTGGTGAGTTGTAGCTGCAGCTGGTGAGTTGTAGCTGCAGCTGGTGAGTTGTAGCTGCAGCTGGTGAGTTGTAGCTGCAGCTGGTGAGTTGTAGCTGCAGCTGGTGAGTTGTAGCTGCAGCTGGTGAGTTGTAGCTGCAGCTGGTGAGTTGTAGCTGCAGCTGGTGAGTTGTAGCTGCAGCTGGTGAGTTGTAGCTGCAGCTGGTGAGTTGTAGCTGCAGCTGGTGAGTTGTAGCTGCAGCTGGTGAGTTGTAGCTGCAGCTGGTGAGTTGTAGCTGCAGCTGGTGAGTTGTAGCTGCAGCTGGTGAGTTGTAGCTGCAGCTGGTGAGTTGTAGGCTGCAGCTGGTGAGTTGTAGCTGCAGCTGGTGAGTTGTAGCTGCAGCTGGTGAGTTGTAGCTGCAGCTGGTGAGTTGTAGCTGCAGCTGGTGAGTTGTAGCTGCAGCTGGTGAGTTGTAGCTGCAGCTGGTGAGTTGTAGCTGCAGCTGGTGAGTTGTAGCTGCAGCTGGTGAGTTGTAGCTGCAGCTGGTGAGTTGTAGCTGCAGCTGGTGAGTTGTAGCTGCAGCTGGTGAGTTGTAGCTGCAGCTGGTGAGTTGTAGCTGCAGCTGGTGAGTTGTAGCTGCAGCTGGTGAGTTGTAGCTGCAGCTGGTGAGTTGTAGCTGCAGCTGGTGAGTTGTAGCTGCAGCTGGTGAGTTGTAGCTGCAGCTGGTGAGTTGTAGCTGCAGCTGGTGAGTTGTAGCTGCAGCTGGTGAGTTGTAGCTGCAGCTGGTGAGTTGTAGCTGCAGCTGGTGAGTTGTAGCTGCAGCTGGTGAGTTGTAGCTGCAGCTGGTGAGTTGTAGCTGCAGCTGGTGAGTTGTAGCTGCAGCTGGTGAGTTGTAGCTGCAGCTGGTGAGTTGTAGCTGCAGCTGGTGAGTTGTAGCTGCAGCTGGTGAGTTGTAGCTGCAGCTGGTGAGTTGTAGCTGCAGCTGGTGAGTTGTAGCTGCAGCTGGTGAGTTGTAGCTGCAGCTGGTGAGTTGTAGCTGCAGCTGGTGAGTTGTAGCTGCAGCTGGTGAGTTGTAGCTGCAGCTGGTGAGTTGTAGCTGCAGCTGGTGAGTTGTAGCTGCAGCTGGTGAGTTGTAGCTGCAGCTGGTGAGTTGTAGCTGCAGCTGGTGAGTTGTAGCTGCAGCTGGTGAGTTGTAGCTGCAGCTGGTGAGTTGTAGCTGCAGCTGGTGAGTTGTAGCTGCAGCTGGTGAGTTGTAGCTGCAGCTGGTGAGTTGTAGCTGCAGCTGGTGAGTTGTAGCTGCAGCTGGTGAGTTGTAGCTGCAGCTGGTGAGTTGTAGCTGCAGCTGGTGAGTTGTAGCTGCAGCTGGTGAGTTGTAGCTGCAGCTGGTGAGTTGTAGCTGCAGCTGGTGAGTTGTAGCTGCAGCTGGTGAGTTGTAGCTGCAGCTGGTGAGTTGTAGCTGCAGCTGGTGAGTTGTAGCTGCAGCTGGTGAGTTGTAGCTGCAGCTGGTGAGTTGTAGCTGCAGCTGGTGAGTTGTAGCTGCAGCTGGTGAGTTGTAGCTGCAGCTGGTGAGTTGTAGCTGCAGCTGGTGAGTTGTAGCTGCAGCTGGTGAGTTGTAGCTGCAGCTGGTGAGTTGTAGCTGCAGCTGGTGAGTTGTAGCTGCAGCTGGTGAGTTGTAGCTGCAGCTGGTGAGTTGTAGCTGCAGCTGGTGAGTTGTAGCTGCAGCTGGTGAGTTGTAGCTGCAGCTGGTGAGTTGTAGCTGCAGCTGGTGAGTTGTAGCTGCAGCTGGTGAGTTGTAGCTGCAGCTGGTGAGTTGTAGCTGCAGCTGGTGAGTTGTAGCTGCAGCTGGTGAGTTGTAGCTGCAGCTGGTGAGTTGTAGCTGCAGCTGGTGAGTTGTAGCTGCAGCTGGTGAGTTGTAGCTGCAGCTGGTGAGTTGTAGCTGCAGCTGGTGAGTTGTAGCTGCAGCTGGTGAGTTGTAGCTGCAGCTGGTGAGTTGTAGCTGCAGCTGGTGAGTTGTAGCTGCAGCTGGTGAGTTGTAGCTGCAGCTGGTGAGTTGTAGCTGCAGCTGGTGAGTTGTAGCTGCAGCTGGTGAGTTGTAGCTGCAGCTGGTGAGTTGTAGCTGCAGCTGGTGAGTTGTAGCTGCAGCTGGTGAGTTGTAGCTGCAGCTGGTGAGTTGTAGCTGCAGCTGGTGAGTTGTAGCTGCAGCTGGTGAGTTGTAGCTGCAGCTGGTGAGTTGTAGCTGCAGCTGGTGAGTTGTAGCTGCAGCTGGTGAGTTGTAGCTGCAGCTGGTGAGTTGTAGCTGCAGCTGGTGAGTTGTAGCTGCAGCTGGTGAGTTGTAGCTGCAGCTGGTGAGTTGTAGCTGCAGCTGGTGAGTTGTAGCTGCAGCTGGTGAGTTGTAGCTGCAGCTGGTGAGTTGTAGCTGCAGCTGGTGAGTTGTAGCTGCAGCTGGTGAGTTGTAGCTGCAGCTGGTGAGTTGTAGCTGCAGCTGGTGAGTTGTAGCTGCAGCTGGTGAGTTGTAGCTGCAGCTGGTGAGTTGTAGCTGCAGCTGGTGAGTTGTAGCTGCAGCTGGTGAGTTGTAGCTGCAGCTGGTGAGTTGTAGCTGCAGCTGGTGAGTTGTAGCTGCAGCTGGTGAGTTGTAGCTGCAGCTGGTGAGTTGTAGCTGCAGCTGGTGAGTTGTAGCTGCAGCTGGTGAGTTGTAGCTGCAGCTGGTGAGTTGTAGCTGCAGCTGGTGAGTTGTAGCTGCAGCTGGTGAGTTGTAGCTGCAGCTGGTGAGTTGTAGCTGCAGCTGGTGAGTTGTAGCTGCAGCTGGTGAGTTGTAGCTGCAGCTGGTGAGTTGTAGCTGCAGCTGGTGAGTTGTAGCTGCAGCTGGTGAGTTGTAGCTGCAGCTGGTGAGTTGTAGCTGCAGCTGGTGAGTTGTAGCTGCAGCTGGTGAGTTGTAGCTGCAGCTGGTGAGTTGTAGCTGCAGCTGGTGAGTTGTAGCTGCAGCTGGTGAGTTGTAGCTGCAGCTGGTGAGTTGTAGCTGCAGCTGGTGAGTTGTAGCTGCAGCTGGTGAGTTGTAGCTGCAGCTGGTGAGTTGTAGCTGCAGCTGGTGAGTTGTAGCTGCAGCTGGTGAGTTGTAGCTGCAGCTGGTGAGGTGTAATATCATGCCATGCCATGTACCACAGCAAGACAGACACAGTGAGTGCAGCTCAAAGAGCCACCAGGCACAGCAGACAGAACGCAGCAGACAGACCAGGCAGCAGCAGCAATAGAACAGAGCAAAGAGCCAAGATAGGGTGAGCGCAGTGAAACGGAGGAGCAAAGGGGAAAGTGGGTGCAGTCAAAACGGAGGAGCGAATGAGAGAGTGGCTGCAGTGAAAGGGATGCATCTCGTACCACAATGGCATGGCACAGGCGTGGGTTTTGGGGACTTGTGTTGACTGCCATGCTGCTGCGGCCACCGCTGTGAGTGCCTGGCTTGCATCATCCCACTGCCGCCCCTCCATGCGCCTCCTCCCTCCACTGCCTCTCCTTGGAACAGCAAGGCCGGTGCAGCATATAGAGCCACCACGCCCCTGCAGCACAGGGAGCAACACACAGTGAGTGCAAGCACGAGGAGCGTTGTTGACCGGTGTTGGCATGTTGACTGCCGTGCTGCTGCACCGCACGGCTCTGCTGTTCTGCCACAAAGCCAGATGCGAAGGGAAGAGGATGCGCCTCGGGCAAAGGGCAGGCAATGAACTCGGATTGAATGAAGCAGTAAGCATGACAAGGAATGGGAAAGCAATGGAAGCAGCAACTCAGATTCGGGCAGAAAGCAGGTCAAGGTGGGCATAAGAGCAGTGGAGAGAAAAAACGAGAAACCCGAAACATGCACGAGCATTGGGGGACATGCAATGGAATGGAGGAGCGAAGGAGAGAGCAGGGTGCTGTGAAAGTGATGCATATCATACCATGAGGGCAGCGATGGCATGGGCGTGGGTTTCGAGGACTGGCATTGACTGGCGTTGACTGGCGTTGACTGCCATGCTGCTGCAGCCAGCGCTGTGCGGCTCTGTCCCCTGCACTCCGTTCGCCCTGAGGCCAGAGGGGTAGACGGCACAGGGAGAAGGAGATGCAAAGGAAAAGGATCGGCCTCGGAACTTGAAATGAATGGGAGCAGCAAGAACGTCAAGGTGGCAATAGAGCAGAAGCAGTGAAGAGGGAGCATTGAGAAACTTGAAAATGGAGCACAGCGAAAAAGGAGTGGTTGAATCGTGGTGGGAGGGGGAACGGGGAAGGCGCATGGCGACAGTGGCCCACAGCACTAGAGCAGCGAGCTGAGCCAGCGAGGGAAGACTGGGGGACGCACGCATGGCATGAATGCACTCCCTCTCCACTACTCTCTCCCACCACTTCCACTACACTGCACTCTACATGAGCTCTGCTGCCATAGCACCACGGGCCACCACCACCATGCGCCAAGGGTCATAATTTGGCAGCAGTGAAAGAGAGAGATGGGGATAGCAAAGGAGAAAGGGAGGGAAGGACGGGTGTGCGGAGGGAAGACTTAGCTGTAGGAGAAGCGTGGACGCAGAAAGTGAGTCGTCCAGAGGAGCACAAATCCTCCCGGGTGACAGCAGCAAGCAGCAGCTTCCCTCTCAGCTCCCCACCATCAGATGAGCATGGCGTGCCATTGGTTGGCTGATTCTAGTGCACACTGCCGCGAACAGAACGCCCCACTCTGTAGGTCGCCACACACCGATGGTGGTGCTGCTTAGTGTGTTTCCCTGCAAGCAAAAAGGAGTAGATAATCCAAAAGTGACGGCGAGTTGTTGGGTGGGGCTTTGAAAGGGCGTGGAGAAATCAAGAAGAAGCCAGAATGCAGAGACAGAAGGACAAGGGACAAGGCAAAATGGACGAGGACACAAAGGAAATACAACCGCAGCAACATGAAAACGACATGCCAATTAGCGAAACTCACACGAGGTAAGGAGGGAGCACTTCCCTGATCCTCCAGTTCCCATTGCCCCCCACTCCCCCTCCACGCATGAGCGCATGCGGTGGTGAGCAGCGGTCAGCAGGGCACGCAGTGAGTGCCGGCCATTAGTCATCCCACTGCCGCCCGTCCATGCGCCTCCTCCCTCTGCTGTCTCCCCTTGGAACAGCAAGGCCCGTGCCGCAATGGAGCCACCACGCCCTCTGCACCGCACGAGCCGTGCTGCTGCATGGGGGACTGTGAGGAGGAGGCGCCGCTTCTCTAGGGGGCTGTGAGGAGGAGGCGCCCCTGCTCTGGGGGGTTGTGAGGAGGAGGCGCCGCTGCTCTGGGGGGCTGTGAGGGAGAGGCGCCGCTGCTCTGGGGGGCTGTGAGGAGGAGGCGCCGCTGCTCTGGGGGGTTGTGAGGGAGAGGCACCGCTGCTCTGGGGGACTGTGAGGAGGAGGCGCCGCTGCTCTAGGGGGCTGTGAGGGCGAGGCGCCCCTGCTATGGGGGGCTGTGAGGAGGAGGCGCCGCTGCTTTGGGGGGCTGTGAGGAGGAGGCGCCGCTGCTCTGGGGGGTTGTGAGGAGGAGGCGCCGCTGCTCTGGGGGGCTGTGAGGGAGAGGCGCCGCTGCTCTGGGGGGCTGTGAGTAGGAGGCGCCGCTGTTCTGGGGGGCTGTGAGGGAGAGGCGCCGCTGCTCTGTGGGGCTGTGAGGAGGAGGCGCCCCTGCTCTGGGGGGTTGTGAGGAGGAGGCGCTGCTGTTCTGGGGGGTTGTGAGGGAGAGGCGCCCCTACTCTGGGGGGCTGTGAGGGAGAGGCGCCGCTGCTCTGGGGGGCTGTGAGGGCGAGGCGCCGCTGCTCTGGGGGATTGTGAGGGCGAGAAGACAAGGAGAAGACATAAGGATAAGGAATAAGGGACGAGGAAAGGAGGGAAATGAATAAGGGACGAGGCGAGAAGGGAAGGGCAAATGCAACAACACAAAAATGACAAGTCAACCAGGGAAAATTACAAGAGGGTGGGAGGAATAACACTTCCCTGAACCTCCACTCGCGCTGAACAGCTCACTGATGGGGGTGATGGCGGTGATGGGGGTGATGGGTTGATGGGGGTGATGGTCGTGATGGCGGTGATGGCGGTGATGGGGGTGATGGGGGTGATGGGGGGGGTGATGGGGGTGATGGGGGTGATGGGAGTGATGGGGGTGATGGGGGTGATGGCGGTGATGGCGGTGATGGGGGTGATGGGGGTGATGGAGGTGATTGGGGTGATGGCGGTGATGGCGGTGATGGCCGTGATGGGGGTGATGGAGGTGATGGCGGGGATGGCGGGGATGGCGGTGATGGCGGTGATGGGGGTGATGGGGCTGATGGGGCTGATGGGGGTGATGGGAGCGTAAAAGAGTGCGGGTGCAGGTAAAGGGATGCATACTATACCACTATGGCAATGAGGTCACGGGTGTGGGTGCTGAGGACTGGTGTTGACTGAGGCTGACTGACGTTGACTGATGTTGACTGAGGTTGAATGGAGCCGAGCTGCTGTATCCACTGCTCTGCTGCTCTACCTCTGGCACTCCATTCCCCCTGAGACCAGAGGACGCATGGGGGAGAAGGAGATGCGAGGAGATTGAACTCGAACAGAGGGCAGGCAACGAACTGAGAATAAATGAAGCAGCAAGGATAACGTGGATGCGCATGTGCATTACAGCGAGAATCGAGAGGTGGGAGGGGGAACGGGAAAGGCGCATGGCGACAGTGGCCCACGGCACTAGAGCAGCGAGCAAAAAGGAGTAGATAATCCAAAAGTGACGGCGAGTTGAAGGGTGGGGCTTGGAAAGGGCGTGGAGAAATCAAGAAGAAGCCAGAATGCAGAGACAGAAGGACAAGGGACAGAAGGACAAGGGACGAGGCAAAATGGACGAGGACACAAAGGAAATACAACCGGAACAACATGAAAACGACAAGCCAATTAGAGAAACTTACAGGAGGTAAGGAGGGAGCACTTCCCTGATCCTCCAGTTCCCATTGCCCCCCACTCCCTCTCCGCGCATGAGCGCATGCGGTGGTGAGCAGCGGTCAGCAGGGCACGCAGTGAGTGCCGGCCATTAGTCATCCCACTGCCGCCCGTCCATGCAATGGAGCCACCACGCCCTCTGCACCGCACGAGCCGTGCTTCTGCATGGGGGGCTGTGAGGGCGAGGTGCCGCTGCTCTGGGGGGCTGTGAGGGAGAGGCGCCGCTGCTCTGGGGGGCTGCGAGGGAGAGGCGCCCCTGCTCTGGGGGGCTGCGAGGGAGAGGCGCCCCTGCTCTGGGGGGCTGCGAGGGAGAGGCGCCGCTGCTCTGGGGGGTTGTGAGGGAGAGGCGCCGCTGCTCTGGGGGGTTGTGAGGGAGAGACGCCGCTGCTCTGGGGGGCTGCGAGGGAGAGGCGCCCCTGCTCTGGGGGGCTGCGAGGGAGAGGCGCCGCTGCTCTGGGGGGTTGTGAGGGAGAGGCGCCGCTGCTCTGGGGGGCTATGAGGAGGAGGCGCCCCTGCTCTGGGGGGTTGTGAGGAGGAGGCGCCGCTGCTTTGGGGGGTTGTGAGGAGGAGGCGCCGCTGCTCTGGGGGGCTGTGAGGAGGAGGCGCCGCTGCTCTGGGGGGATGTGAGGAGGAGGCGCCCCTGCTCTGGGGGGTTGTGAGAAGGAGGCGCCGCTGCTCTGAGGGGTTGTGAGGGAGAGGCGCCGCTGCTCTGGGGAGTTGTGAGGGAGAGGCGCCGCTGCTATGGGGGGTTGTGAGGGCGAGGCGCCGCTGCTCTGGGGGGCTGTGAGGAGGAGGCGCCGCTGCTCTGGGGGGCTGTGAGGGAGGGGCACCGCTGCTCTGGGAGGCTGTGAGGGAGAGGCGCCGCTGCTCTGGGGGGCTGTGAGGAGGAGGCGCCGCTGCTCTGGGGGGTTGTGAGGAGGAGGCGCCGCTGCTCTGGGGGGTTGTGAGGAGGAGGCGCCGCTGCTCTAGGGGGTTGTGAGGAGGAGGCGCCGCTGCTCTGGGGGGTTGTGAGGGAGAGGCGCCGCTGCTCTGGGGAGTTGTGAGGGAGAGGCGCCGCTGCTATGGGGGGTTGTGAGGGCGAGGAGCCGCTGCTCTGGGGGATTGTGAGGGCGAGAAGACAAGGAGAAGACATAAGGACAATGAAAAAGGGACGAGGAAAGGAGGGAAATGAATATGCGACGAGGCGAGAAGGGAAGGGCAAATGCAACAACACGAAAATGACAAGCCAACCAGGGAAAATGACAAGAGGGTGGGAGGAATAACACTTCCCTGAACCTCCACTCGCGCTGAACAGCTCACTGAGGGAAAATCACTGTGAGTGCAGCACAAAGAGCAATCAAGCCGTGTAGCAGATAGAGCAGCCAGCAGCAGCAGACAGAAGCGAAGGAGAGAGCGAATGCAGTGAAATGGAGGAGTGAAAGAGAGAACGGGTGGAATCACATGCAAGGAGAGTGCGGGTACAGTTGAAGGGATGCATACCGTACCATAATGGCAGCGATGTCAGCGGTGCCGAGGACTGGAGTTGAATTGCGTTGACTGATGCTGACTGCCGTGCTGCTGCTTTGCAGATGCAAAGAGATTGGCCTCGGGCAGAGGGCAGAGGGCAGCGGGAAGGCAATGAATTGGAAATGAGTGCAGCCGAAAGCGCAGCAAGGAATGGAATAGCATTGGAGGCAAAAACTCAGATATGGGAAGAAAGCAGGTCAAAGTGGCCAATCGAGCAGAAGCAGTAGAGAGCAAGAGTGAGATACTCGAAACTTGAGTGGTGGGAGGGGGGCGGAGGGGGAACGGGGAAGGCGCATGGCGACAGTGGCCCACAGCACTAGAGCAACGAGCTGAGCCAGCGAGGGGGGACTGAGGGACGCACGCATGGCATGAATGCACTCCCTCTCCACTACTCTATCCCACCACTCCCACTACACTGCACTCTACATGAGCTCTGCTGCCATAGCACCACGGACCACCACCACCATGCGCCAAGGGACGGATGTGCCTTGAGATTTGCCAAAAATGAAAGAGACGGATGGGGAGCGATGGAAGACGGGGGGGCCGGAGAGGAAACTTAGCTAAGGAGAAGCGTAGAGGCTGAAAGTGACTCGTCCAAGGCAGCAGCAGCAAGCAGCAGCGTCGCCGTTCCGCACACCGTCGCACGCAGCAACTCGCCGTTCCGCACACCATCACATGCAGCTCGTCGCCGTTCCGCACACCGTCGCATGCAGCTCGTCGCCGTTCCGGACACCGTCGCATGCAGCTCGTCGCCGTTCCGTGCAGTGTTACGCGCGGCAAGTCGCCACTCTGCAGCTACTCGCCATTCCGCACGCCGTCGCGCAGTAAGTCGCCATGCTGTTGTGGCACAACGTCGCACGCAGCTCATCGCACTCCGCACACCGTCGCGTCGCCATTCTGCACATCGTCGCAACCAGCTCCTCGCCATTCCGCACGCCGTCGCACGCCGTTGGTCGCCTTCATCCGCACATTATCGCATGCGTAAGTCGCCAGTATCCGCGATGTAGCACGCATAGTCGTCAGCGTTGGTGCTCCTCATCACCAGCGCTGCACGGCGTCACAGCGACTCGCTATCCACACTTCGCCACCCTCCTCACGCGCACGCTGTCTAGTGTGCTGTTCGCTGCTCGCCACTCGCCGCTCGCACGACGCTCAACGTTCGAACGAATCGCCAATCGACATTTGTTGCTCGCCGATCAGATTGTGCATATTGCTAGCCGCTCGCTGTTCGTCCTTAACCATCTAGCCTCCCGCCGTTCGGCAGTCGTCACCCACTCATCGAGATTCGAAATACCCCAACACCGCCACTCGCCGATCGTCGCACGTTGCTACCCACCAACAAGGCTGTTCGACGCTACCCGTTCGCTGCTCACTGTGTCGCCGTGAGTCACCGTGACGCCGGTCGCCTTGCTGCTAGAGATTCACGGGCTGAGCCATCCATGAGCGGCAGCGACGTCATTCGTTTGTCATGCATCGTTTTGCAAGCGATGGTGACTACGAAGTTCCGCGATCAGCGACGTTGCTATGGAGCTTAGCGGAATAGTGACGGTACCTATGAATATTAGTAGCCGATCAGCGACGGTCGTATGAAGCTTAGCGAATCAACGATGCTACCTCTCGTAGAGTTTCGAGTACCGCGAAGAAGACAAACATTATCGCAAACATCTGCTTCTGTCGTCTGGATGTGCTTCTTTTGCTGCTGCTAATGGTAATCGTAACTATTACAGAGCTAGTTCTTTCATGGTGAAAGCTGTCGACCATGTCAACGTATGCTGTTAGAAGACTCTGTGCTTACGGCGGCACTGTCTGAATGCGCGTACGGGATTGCCTGAAAATGGTTCCTGTGTTGCCTGAGATGCTAAAAGCACTTAGGATGTCATTCCTGAGACTTCTGATAGGAAACGGTGCTGCATAACGCGCTAGCGCTGATTGACGTGCTTCACGTATCATGATGACAGATTCAACTGTCTCGAAGCTTAACGGAATATGCGCGAGAACTAAAGCTGCGGAGATCCATTTCGGGAAAACTTATCAGCGATATCATTGCTGAGCCAAGACGCCATAAGCGATCAGCAAAAAAAATAGATGCTGGAACGTAACGGAGTCAGAATTCGCGGCAACTACAAAGATGGAGAGGCTTTGGATTTCGAGGTTAGGAATCATCAGCACCATGCTTCCGCCGAGCTAAGCAGTACGGTTTATATTCAGGCTTCAGAAACTATCGCATCAGAATCTTGATCAGCATGATGCTGATACGGCCTTATCGAGATATGATATTACTTTCATGGCTATACTGAACAATAAGCGTTAAATAAAAACCCTCGAGGGATTTCGACAGCAGCCATGGCAAGCTGAGGAAGCCATGAAAGTCAGCATCAGCTACGCTGAATTCGAGAAAGTCAGTGACGAGTGGAATTTGGCATACCACAACACTGGACATTACTTAATGGGCTCAAGCAACTGTACTACGGTAGCTAAGTTGGCTCTACCGTGAACGTTCTACAGCTGTCTCATGGATCCGTATGAACGGTTTGCTATTGTAGCGCTCATCCCACCTCCCACCACCCACCCACCCACCCCCCATCAGCCATCATCAGACATCAGCCATCACGCCCCACTGCAGGTCGCTCCCACTCGCCCACTGCCTCGACCCCATGCCGCACTGCAGTGCCACCCGCAAGCGGCAGGTCTTGTCTGAAAGAATCAAATCCCAAGCCGCCCAGCACCGGCACCCCTCCGCTCCTCCCCACTGCAAATCGCTGCCTCTTCTCTTCCATACTCACGACACTCCCTCCCTCATCCCCACTCTTACTCCCACCCTCTGTGCCTGTGCCTGTAATAGTGCTGTCACCTGACTCTGCACCACTGTCGCCCCTTCTCTCCCCACCCTCCCCTCCTTCAAAACGTCCCACTGCCCCCACTGCTTTAACATCAGCCCCCCCAGCAGCACCACCCACCACCTCAGATCGCTCGTCCTTTTCCGGCAGTGACGATTGGCCGGCGCTGCTGTCGGGCGGCGGGAACTGGGCAGCAACACCACAGAGCTGTGCGAGGTGGCGGACGGCGGAGAAGATCGAGGGGTGGCAGGGGAGGGTTGTGGGCGGCAGGGGTGGGTGGCAGTGGGGATGGAAGGCCGGGCGGGCGGCGAAGGAGACATGCAGTGAGAGCACTGCACGTGCAAAGATGAACCTGAGAGCGGGAGCATGATGGGGAGGAGAGATGGGATAGAGAGAAGGAAAAAGGGTTAGAAAGGGAGTGAGTGGGGGAGGGACAGGTTGGAGCAGTGAGGGTGATGCGATGGCACACATGTGAAAGTGGAGTGTGATGGCAGTGCATGGCGGGGTGAGGGCATGGCAGGGGGGAGTGGCAAGGACCTGAGGAGGAAGAGGCGCAGGAAGGGGTCGAGCAGCAGGCGCGCCCAGGCCAGGGGCAGTGTGGGGCAGGCAGCGAGAGATGAGCCCCACTGCGACAGCAGCATTGCTAGTTGCCTCTCCCACCCCATGTACTGCTCCTGATGGGGTGGGGTGGTGCACGCATGCAGAGGGGGAAAGGGAGGACGGGAAACAGGGAGGGGGATGAGACAAGGGGGTTTGGTTGGAAGTTAAAGTGGGCACACGCAGTGGCTTGGGAATACCAGCAGCAGTACCTCGGGATTACCAGCAGCAGTACCTCGGGATTACCAGCAGCAGTACCTCGGGATTACCAGCAGCAGTACCTCGGGATTACCAGCAGCAGTACCTCGGGATTACCAGCAGCAGTACCTCGGGATTACCGGCAGCAGTACCTCGGGATTACCAGCAGCAGTACCTCGGGATTACCGGCAGCAGTACCTCGGGATTACCAGCAGCAGTACCTCGGGATTACCAGCAGCAGTACCTCGGGATTACCAGCAGCAGTACCTCGGGATTACCAGCAGCAGTACCTCGGGATTACCAGCAGCAGTACCTCGGGATTACCAGCAGCAGTACCTCGGGATTACCGGCAGCAGTACCTCGGGATTACCAGCAGCAGTACCTCGGGATTACCGGCAGCAGTACCTCGGGATTACCGGCAGCAGTACCTCGGGATTACCAGCAGCAGTACCTCGGGATTACCAGCAGCAGTACCTCGGGATTACCAGCAGCAGTACCTCGGGATTACCAGCAGCAGTACCTCGGGATTACCAGCAGCAGTACCTCGGGATTACCGGCAGCAGGATTACCTTGGGAATGTCGGGCAGCGGCACGGCAGTGAGGCGGCAGAAGGCCTGCAGAGGGGCGGTGAGGAAGAGTGTGAAGAGATTGGCGCCTGCCAGGTGCGTGGCCGTGGCGACGGAGACGGCGGGCGGTGCAGCGGAGGTGGAGGAGGAGGAGGGGGGTTCAGACGTGGGGGCAGCAGACGGTGCAGTGGAGGGGATAGAAGCAGTGGCAGTATTGACAGCAGCCGGAGGCTCTGCTGCCGTGTCAGCAACAGCCGAGGAGGATTGAGAGGAGGGAGGGACGGTGCCATCAGCATTGGTTGCGGCAGGAGTGGTGGCAGTGGTGGAGGAAGGTTGAGAGGGGCGGGGAGCGGTGCTGATGTCGGGCTGCAGGCGGGGCGACAGCAGCATGGCACACGGCTCTCCTTGCTCCCTGCCACCCAGCCACTGGCAGTGAAGAGGAAAGAGAGGACGGGGATGGGGAGTGGAGATGAGGGGGGGGTAGTAGTAAGGACAGGTACAAAGGCAGGGAGCAGTGAGGCGATGGAGGCATGGACGCACTGGCTCAAGCATGGCTCTCACATCATGAAGAGGGGCAGAATGGAGTGAGTCCAGCATGGCTCTCACATCATGAAGAGGGGCAGAATGGAGTGAGTCCAGCATGGCTCTCACATCATGAAGAGGGGCAGAATGGAGTGAGTCCAGCATGGCTCTCACATCATGAAGAGGGGCAGAATGGAGTGAGTCCAGCATGGCTCTCACATCATGAAGAGGGGCAGAATGGAGTGAGTCCAGCATGGCTCTCACATCATGAAGAGGGGCAGAATGGAGTGAGTCCAGCATGGCTCTCACATCATGAAGAGGGGCAGAATGGAGTGAGTCCAGCATGGCTCTCACATCATGAAGAGGGGCAGAATGGAGTGAGTCCAGCATGGCTCTCACATCATGAAGAGGGGCAGAATGGAGTGAGTCCAGCATGGCTCTCACATCATGAAGAGGGGCAGAATGGAGTGAGTCCAGCAGGCAAGCGCGGTACACAGCACAGCGTGTGCATGAATGAGTGTCAGTCACCTGGAGGACGGTCACACCCACCTGGAAGGCAGCGCTGTTGTCACACCCACCTGGAAGGCAGCGCTATTGTCACACCCACCTGGAAGGCAGCGCTATTGTCACACCCACCTGGAAGGAAGCGCTATTGTCACACCCACCTGGAAGGCAGCGCTACTGTCACACCCACCTGGAAGGCAGCGCTATTGTCACACCCACCTGGAAGGCAGCGCTACTGTCACACCCACCTGGAAGGCAGCGCTATTGTCACTGTCGACAATGAGCACGAGTGGGCGGCGGGTGAACGGCAGGATGTCAGCCGGTAGCAAACAGCACATGCTGGCCGCCTCCCCCTCCCCCCTCATCCTCACCCAGACGCCCCCTCCCGCCACACCCCCATCACCCTCGCGCCCGTGTGACTGCTCCCCCTCATGCGCCCCGCCTCCCCCTTCAGAGTCAACGGCCCCACTGCACGCACTGCTGCCTGCCCTGCCGTCTGCACTGCTGCCAGCGCCACCCTCTGCTGCTGCTGCAGGGGCGCCAGCCACGGCAGCTGCCTCTGGCGCCACGACAGCACTGCTGGTTGCAGCAGGTTGGGAGGTGGCAGGAGATTGAGAGGAGGAGGCAAGGGCGGGGGCGGCAGTGGGGGTGAGGGAGCCGGCAGCGGAGAGGTAGAGCAGCAGGGCGGCATCAGCTGGTAACTCCTCCACTGCTGTTGCCAGCACCATGAGCAGGTGTGGCACGGACGGGCGGTGCAGCACGTACTTATGCGGGTTGGGCGGCAGACTCGGATCCACCACGTTCTCCTCCGCGCCGCCCACCAGGCGCGGCCCCTCGCCGCCCCCGCCGCCCGCGCCACCAGTGGCAGTGAAGCCGTGGGTGGCGACGCCGCCTTGCTTGGAGGGGAGGAAGAAGCCCGAGGGCAGCCACTCCACTGCCTGTAGCATGCGGAAGGCGTCCAGCGTCACCTCGCTCAGCTTCACCTGCCGTGTGATGGAGGTGGGGGGGTGTGGGGGTGATGGGGGTGATGGGGGAGATGGGGGTGATGGGGGTGATGGGGGTGATGGGTGTGATGAGGGTGATGGGGGTGATGGGTGCCACTCGACGGCCTGTAGCATGTGGAAGGCATCTAATGTGACCTCGCTCAGCTTCACCTGCGGGCATGCAAGGGGGGGGAGAGAGGGGGGACATGTGGAGAGAGGGGGGACATGTGGAGAGAGGGGGGACATGTGGAGAGAGGGGGGACATGTGCAGAGAGGGGGGACATGTGCAGAGAGGGGGGACATGTGGAGAGAGGGATTGAGGTGCGGGCGGAGTGGCAGGTGGACGAACGTCCATTGTCAAGTTGATGAGCTTCACGTGTGCTCGTGGGGGGGAGGAGTGATGATGGCATGTGGATACGGACGAGGCAGGAGGACGATGGGCTGGGAGCAGTGGGGGGCGAGTGAGGTGAGGGCGAGTGAGGTGAGGGCGAGTGAGGTGAGGGCGAGTGAGGTGGGGGCGAGTGAGGTGGGGGCGAGTGAGGTGGGGGCGAGTGAGGTGGGGGCGAGTGAGGTGGGGGCGAGTGAGGTGGGGGCGAGTGAGGTGGGGGCGAGTGAGGTGGGGGCGAGTGAGGTGGGGGCGAGTGAGGTGGGGGCGAGTGAGGTGGGGGCGAGTGAGGTGGGGGCGAGTGAGGTGAGGGTGAGGAGCGGCAGTGAGGTGGGGGCGAGTGAGGTGAGGGCGAGGAGCGGCAGTGAGGTGAGGGCGAGGAGCGGCAGTGAGGTGAGGGCGAGGAGCGGCAGTGAGGCATGGGTGCAGAGAAGGATGGGCGAGAGCGGAAGGAAGCGGCGGGCAGTGCAGTGGAGGAGGAGAAGAACAGCCCAGCAGCAACGCCCCGCCCCACATGGCGGGTCGTCAGCACACTTTGCTCCACCTCCCTGCTGCACCCCCACCTTCCTTCCCCTCCACCTGCCTGCTGCACTGTACTGTCCCTCCTCTCCCTTCTCCCCTTTCTCCACTCCCCCCTCTCCTCTCCCCGCCTCCCCCTCCCCCCTTCCCCCCAGGGCGCACCTCTAGAGGGTAGAAGCTGGTGAGAACGACCTCCTGCAGGGCGAGGGCCCACAGTGGTGCCCTCCCCCTTCTCCTCCCCCCCTATCCATCCCTCCCCCTTCTCCTCCCCCCCTATCCATACCTTCCCCATTCCCCACCTACTCCCCACCTACTCCCCACCTTCCCCCCCCTGGGCTCACCTCGAGGGGGTAGAAGCTGGTGAGCACGACCTCCTGCAGGGAGAGGGCGCGCGGGGAGGTGGGCAGCATGAGGGCGGCGACGGGGGGAAGGGCGCCGGGGGGCGGGTCGAGCAGCACGCTGTAGCGCAGTGGTCGTGGGCAGTCGGACGGCCAGTCTGCGCGCAGGAAGCGCACCGCCTCGTGCACCACCCCCTTCCACTCCGCTGCGTCCGCTGCCTGGTGTAGGGAGGGGCGGGTGGATGCGAGGAAAGAGGGCAAGGTAGTGACGGGACAGCAATAGTCAGTGCGTGGCGTGGCAGGGAGGCTGAGGGAGGGTAAATGCGTGCAGCGCAGAGGGAGACGAGGGGGCAGGGGCACCTGGAAGGAGCGGGAGTAGTCATCAACGGCCATGCGCAGCTGCCAGAGCAGGTGGCGCAGCATGTCGCGCCGCCCCAGCAGCACACACACCACTGTGAAGCGCGCCAACCACCGCAGCTGCTTGTGCGCCACCGCCGCCTCACTGCGCGCCGCTTCTCTGAAGTACTCGCGCCTGCACGAGGGGAGACAAAGTGGGACGGGAAGACACGCGGGAGGAGTAGGCAGGCGGAAGGGGAGAGACCGGCGGGGGGAACGGGGGAGTGTGGGGAGACGGATGTGGGTGACGCAGTGGGAGCGGATGGAGGCGTGCGGTCGACTAGGCGGACAAGGTAAAGATAAGGAACATGAGGAGAGAAGGTGAAGAATGTGGGGGGATAGGAAAGGAGGAAGGAGGGGGGTCAAAGCATAACTGCGAATGGCATCGCCATAGTCACACCTGTGAATGGCATTACAGTCACACCTGTGAATGGCATTACAGTCACACATGTGAATGGCGTCGCCATAGTCACACCTGTGAATGGCATAGCCATAGTTACACCTGTGAATGGCATCGCTATAGTCACACCTGTGAATGGCATCGTAGAATATGAACGCCTCGAGCAGGTAGCTCGCGTCGCCCGTGCGCAGATAGTAGTTGTAGTACAGCTGCCCTATGCGCGAGGCGATCTCGCCTATCTCCCACCGCCTGCCCGCCGATCGCGGCGCAATACAAGGCGGAATGGGGGGAATGGGGATGAGAGCGGGGAAGGTTTGGCGCAGCCACAGACGGAATCGAGAATTAGCGAGAGCATGGGCGGAAGGCGGAATTGCGATGGCGGGCGGCGCAGCGCGGCACGTACTTGAGGCCCATCTCGACGAGGCGCGCGCGGTGCTCTTGCTGGAAGCGCCAGAGGCGCGAGTAGACGCTGAAGGCCTTGTGGAAGTGCGCCTCCCACCGCTGCCGCCCGTAAAGCGGCAGCTCGCGCAGCCGCGCGAACTTGCCGTACGCCTTCTCCAGCAGCGCGCGGTACTGCTCCGCCACCGCCGCGCTCGATGCGCCCGCGCTCGTCACAGGCGCACTCGTTACAGGCGCGATTGTCACATGCGCGCTTACTGCAGAGGCAGTGGCGGCGGCGGAAGAGGAATGCGGCATGGCGGCGGCGGAAGAGGAATGCAGCATGGCGGCGGCGGGAGCGGGCGCAGAGGGGGCTTCTAAGGGAGTGTGGCGCGCGGGCGAGTCGGCGCGGGGAGCTAAAGGGGATTCGGTGGATTCTGGGGCATGCGCAGTTTGGGCATCCTCGTCAGGCTTCGCCGGAGGTGGCGGCGACGAATGCGGCATAGCAGCAAAAGGTGCGATTGTAAACGTGGGATGTGAATTTGGAAAACGGTGGAGGAAGAATGCTGTGGCGTGTGCTCGACAGACGTTCTTTTCCGAGAAGACTCGAGATTCGCCAAAACGAATAACATATAGGATTACTTATTATACACAGGGCATTCTTCTGTCAAAATTATATTTCAAAGGGAACACCTCAATTCAATCAAAGAGTAATAAATTACCAGAGCACCATAAGGGGCAAATGGGCAAATGCTGCAAACATGGCAGTGAGCATCCAGGGTAAGAGGGCTTGGAAGGTCGTGTGGTGCTTTGAGGGGCGTGTGAGGGAGAGAAAGCAGATAAAAGATGGAGTAAGGGACTGCCATGGTAACAATAAAGATGGAATGGGGGGCTGCCATGGGGGCCAGATCAAACAAAACGAAACAATGGCGCCAGCAGCGGAAATCTCCGCTGAGGCTGTCTGTGAGAGAGTGTCAGCTGCATTCCAGGCAGCACCACCGGTCCTCGCCTCTATCCCCGACCTAATATATATCACTAAGGTGCGCCTCGCGCGGGACAGGCGCCTCAGATCTGGACGATCGTCGGCGCGACCTTGCCGGACTCCACCCTCTGCAGAGACCCCACCCGCGCGCTCGCCCCCTCTGCGCCCGCGCTCAAGCTCCCGCGCACGGCGCAATGTCCGCGGGGCATTCGGGGGCTGCCGCGTTCGCCCAAATACGCCCTCCCCCAGGCCGAACCCGCCCATTTCGACTCCGCCGTGCGCGGCTGGTACCCGTCGAAGCTCAGGCACCGCGGCACGCCAGTCGGCCCTTGCTGACGGATCGCCGGCTCCGCTGCCGCGTTGCCGTTAAGTGGGCCGCGGAGGAAGTCGGCTGCCGGCCACGGAGACTGTGAGTCGCCGGGGGACCGCTGCTCTGCCGCATTGTCCGCATCCAGCGGCACGACTGACGGCAGTGCGTCCATTGTCGCTGCGCGCTCCGTTGAAGCTCGGCGCAAACCGCGGCCACTTGAGGCGCGGGCTCCTTGCGGTCGCTCCGCGTCGTCCTCCATTGGGCTGCGCCGCGGGGCCGCCCATGGCGGTGTCTGCAGTGGGAAACGGCATGGAGGCGGGACGCGCGTGAGTGAGTGACAGGGAAGTGAGGAGGCGGATGACACAATGTAATCACGACATGGGATGAGATGAATCGAGATGAGCTGAGCCAAGACGCGACGCGGCGAAACGCGATAGCACGAGACACGCGGAGACAGAGCATACCTGGAGTGGAGTTGGTGGTTTGTGTGAGAGTGGACCCGCCATAGTGGCGATTCGCGTCACGGTGCACAGGGAGCGTGGCGCCGCGAGAGGGCTCTTGTATCGGTTGGAAGGCAAAAACGTAGAGAACCCTAGAAGGCAGTGAATGGGACGTGGGTCTGCAAGCAAAGCGTGCTGATGGTGTGGTGAAGTGCAGTAGGGGCGGGGTGAGGGAAGGGGAGGGAAATGGAAAAGGGAGGTGGTGGCGTTGCCTGCCTCACTCGATGGCGCGTGAATCCGATTCCTTGTTTGCGACGCCTCCCATCGACGACACGCCACGGCAGTCCTCAACAGCAAGCAGCAGCAATTGCATCTGTCGCACAAATTGGCGTTTTTTACCCGAAGATGGCGCTGGGTTTCCGGATTGTCTGGTGGATACTTCTCCATTTCACTGGAATTCCACCTCAACTAGATTGTAACAAAAGCCTGCGAAAACGCCTAGGCGTGTCTTCAGAAGGGGCTTTTTTTCCTACCAAGTGACGCTTTCAGTACTTCTGGCAAATTCCTTCCGAGGAAAAGGAGCACAAATGTAACGGAACCGACCTTGAGCGCGCTCGCCTCTGACTAACCCTGCCCTGACCTCTGGTGGAGTCTGGCTGGACTGGACGCCAGTCTCACACCATCGAACAAAGCCCTGCGCAACCTTCTGTCGCACGGTCGCAGACCCACTTAGCGACGGAGAAAAGGTCCCCGAGCGATCCACCGAAGTACTGTACGAATGATGGCAGATCCAACAAGTTTTCCCTCCGCTCGTTGTCGTTTCCCACAGCATGCGCTGCAAAAAAGGACTCCAGTCAGCATGCTGTGGTTGAGGAGAACATTATACACGCAGAACGTATATTAAGAACAGGAAAACAGTTTCTGATTTGGTTTGAAGTGTCCAAGTGATGACTGGATTTTAAATTCCTTGATTGCTGACTATTTCCCCTACTTTGCCCTAACACCGTTAGTCACACTTCAGCAGTTTCCGGACTCAGCCCCCAGCAACCTGTTCATCATTCTTGGCTATTCCAGTCTGTTCACAAGTGATGTCAGTAGCTCATGGCATGATATCAACCACTGGATTTTGTACAAATTACCTTGGCAGGGCAAAGGAACAGAATTGCTTCTAGACCAATTTATTCAAACGTCAAGTGCTGCGCATTAACCAGTGTGGCATATGCACCCCCCAGTGCCACCAGCTGGGCGTGTGTCCCTCTCTCTACCAGCCTGCCGGCCGCCATCACCACGATCTGATCTGCTGCCTGCACTGTGCTCAACCGATGCGCTATCACCAGCGTCGTGCGGCCCTGGAAAAAGGGGTGAAAGGGGAGAAGGGGAGAGGGACGCATGGTTACAGGACTTGCACAAGAGGGGGCACATCCAGGCCATCCAGGGAAAAAGCACATGCCTCATCGCTATCAGATTCCCTACATCCCCTCCCAAACCATCACCTGCTATTGCCTCCGCTCACCTGCATGAGCCCCTCCAGTGCCTGCTGCACGAGTCGCTCTGACACGCTGTCAAGTGCACTGGTGGCCTCGTCCAGAATCAGAATCGGCGCATCCTTCAGTATGGCCCGCGCTATTGCCAGGCGCTGCCAGGGGACAGGAAAAAGGGGTTGGAACAGGGAGAGAGGAGGGGTGGGGTGTGGGGGGGGGGGGGGGTTCAGATGAGCACGAGTCAAGGGTATCAATGCGCACAGGAGCACATAGGCGCACATGCGCACATGCGCAGAGGCATAAGGCACGCAACACAAGTCTCCCAGGAGCGCAAGCACAAGGCAAGGAAGCGAAACATGCCCCTGCTGCAAGGCGGGGGGTGCGCGCAGCGAGGGCGCCTCACCTGCCTCTGCCCGCCACTGAGCAGCCCGCCCCTCTCCCCCACCATCGTGTCATAGCCCTGCCGTGCACACATGAAGGGCGGACGAGGGGAGGGGGAAGCAGGAAGATCAAGGGAGCGAGGAAGGAGAGAGGGGGGTGGTAGTGAGGGGGAGTGGAGTAGCCCAAGGGGCAGGGCTGGGCGCCGATTGATAGGGCGAATGCTTGAGAGGAATGAATTGAAACAGCAAAGCATGTGCACGGCGGAGCATGGCATGGCATGGGATGGCAATGAATGGGCATGGGAAGGTACAGTATGGCATGGCATGGCATGGGAAGGCACAGGATGGGCATGTGGTATGGGCTGGCATGGTTGCGCTTGGCATGGCAAGGGCATGCACCTGGGGCAGCTTCACAATGAACTCATGCGCGTTCGCAGCCTTGGCAGCCCTGATGACGTCAGCCTCTGACACGTCAGCGTCGGGGAGGCCATAGGCTATGTTGTCGCGCACCGACATGGCGAATAGCACCGGCTCCTGCAGCCACACGCATGGCACATGCACATACACGCCGGACAAGAGATGGGCAGGGGAAGGTGGAACAGGTGGGATGCAGAGGGAATGCAGAAGGAGACGGGTGGGGAAGAGTATGTAAGGACGAGAGGGAGCAAGGAGGGCATAAGCCTATTGCTGCACACAGATTAAAGCTAAGAGGTTGTTCTTTGAATGGCACAGGGGTGCTTGCATGCATGGCTCCTACTGGCATGTCCCCATCACCCCTTTCACACCAAGAATGCCGTGGCAGCTCACCTGCTGGCAGCTCACCTGGCTGACGAGAGAAATAGCGCGCGTCCACTGTGTGCGGTCGAACGATGCGATGTCCATGCCCGCCAGTGATATCGTGCCCGCTACCGGCTGGTGGCACAGCCATGCACACACACACACACACACACACACACACACACACACACACACAGGGGGGGGGAGAACGGGGGAGAGTTGAGCAGGGCGCGTGGAAAGACGACGAAATGTAAGGGAACAGAATGGGTTTATGCACGATGCAGGCAGCACAGGACGTTCAACACCACCAGAGCACCCTCTGCGAACCACCTGTGCAACGAGGGACCATGGCCCATGGCACCGCACCGCATCACACCGCAGCGCACCTCATAGAACTGGGAGAGCAGCTGCACGACCGTGGACTTGCCCGCGCCACTGCCGCCCACGAGTGCTGTGACACTGCCACGTGGCAGCACGAGATTGATGCCCTTTATCACCTCCACCGCCGCCCGCTGCGGATACGCAAAGCGCACGTCTGCGGACAAGGGAAGAGGGGGGAAGGGGGAAGACGTGGTTGAGGGAGGAGAGGGATTGGACAGGAGGAAGGAGGGTCGGAGGGGTGTGTGGCACATGGAGTGGGGTGAGATGGAGGGTGGGATACGGGAGGAAAATGGAGGAACGGGGTTAGGGAAGCGACAATGAGAGTGGGAGCTGCATGCAGGTATGAAGTGATGGTGATCAGCTGATAGCAAAGGGCATGGCAGAGTCAACCTACCTCTGAACTCAATGTCGCCCGTCCATGCCAGCTCACACGCTGACAACCCCCTCCCACCGCCCACCACCGTGCCATTCCCTCTCTGCACTGCCATCAACCCCTCCTTTTCCTCCGCTTCTCCCACCACCCCCACGGCCGCCGGCTCGGGGCAAGGGGTGGAGGCAGGGAGCGGCACGGAGAGGTCCGGGAGCGGTTCGGGGATGGAGAGGTTGGGTTCCGGGGGCGAGGCGGAGAGGAGGGCGTTGATGCGCGCCACTGCAGATAGGGCGTTCTGCACGTCCGCCATCGTGTTCACCAGCCCCTGGATCTGCGGAGGGGGAGGGGGGGGGAAGAGTCGGGTGACGCGGGAGGAGAGGAGAAGGGTGGGTTTAGGCATGAGAGGTGGAAAGGCAAGCAGGCATATTGCAGATAGGGCGTTCTGCACGTCCGCCATCGTGTTCACCAGCCCCTGGATCTGCGGAGGGGGAGGGGGGGGATGATGGAAGGTGTGGTGCAAGCAACGGCATGTGGCATGGATTCGAGGCCCGAATGGCTGTGACTGCAATGACCAGCTTCTGCAGATGTATGGAGTAAGTGGAAGGGGGAGGGAGAGGAGGGATGCTGGCATGCACGGTGCCATGGCATGGCATGTAGACATACAGGCATGAATGAGGGTTCAGAGGCGGGTAGAGGGCGGCATGCATTGCCTTTCAGAGGCAAGAGGGGCACACACGCATGCATGCACGAGGCCAAGGGAGGGGCACACACGCATGCATGCACGAGGCCAAGGGAGGGGCACACACGCATGCATGCATGCACGAGGCCAAGGGAGGCGCACACACGCATGCATGCACGAGGCCAAGGGAGGGGCACACACGCATGCATGCACGAGGCCAAGGGAGGGGCACACACGCATGCATGCACGAGGCCAAGGGAGGGGCACACACGCATGCATGCACGAGGCCAAGGGAGGGGCACACACGCATGCATGCACGAGGCCAAGGGAGGGGCACACACGCATGCATGCACGAGGCCAAGGGAGGGGCACACACGCATGCATGCACAAGGCCAAGGGAGGGGCACACACGCATGCATGCATGCACGAGGCCAAGGGAGGCGCACACACGCATGCATGCACGAGGCCAAGGGAGGGGCACACACGCATGCATGCACGAGGCCAAGGGAGGGGCACACACGCATGCATGCACGAGGCCAAGGGAGGGGCACACACGCATGCATGCACGAGGCCAAGGGAGGGGCACACACGCATGCATGCACGAGGCCAAGGGAGGGGCACACACGCATGCATGCACGAGGCCAAGGGAGGGGCACACACGCATGCATGCACGAGGCCAAGGGAGGGGCACACACGCATGCATGCACGAGGCCAAGGGAGGGGCACACACGCATGCATGCACGAGGCCAAGGGAGGGGCACACACGCATGCATGCACGAGGCCAAGGGAGGGGCACACACGCATGCATGCACGAGGCCAAGGGAGGGGCACACACGCATGCATGCACGAGGCCAAGGGAGGGGCACACACGCATGCATGCACGAGGCCAAGGGAGGGGCACACACGCATGCATGCACGAGGCCAAGGGAGGGGCACACACGCATGCATGCACGAGGCCAAGGGAGGGGCACACACGCATGCATGCACGAGGCCAAGGGAGGGGCACACACGCATGCATGCATGCACGAGGCCAAGGGAGGCGCACACACGCATGCATGCATGCACGAGGCCAAGGGAGGCGCACACACGCATGCATGCACGAGGCCAAGGGAGGGGCACACACGCATGCATGCACGAGGCCAAGGGAGGGGCACACACGCATGCATGCACGAGGCCAAGGGAGGGGCACACACGCATGCATGCACGAGGCCAAGGGAGGGGCACACACGCATGCATGCACGAGGCCAAGGGAGGGGCACACACGCATGCATGCACGAGGCCAAGGGAGGGGCACACACGCATGCATGCACGAGGCCAAGGGAGGGGGCGGTGGAGGGAGGGGGTGTGGAGGGAGGGGGTGTGGAGGGAGGGGGTGTGGTGCAGTGCTTTGTAGAACAGTGGGGGACAGGCAGTGCAACGACCTTGCGGCACACACACGAGACAGCTTGCAACGCGGATGAGGGGCGGGGAGGAGGGAGGGGAGCAGAGGGGAGAGGAGGGGAGGGGGGAGAGGTGGGGGAGAGGAGCGGAGGGGCTTACAGCGAAGGTGAGGAGGAAGGTGTAGCCCACGAACGCCAGCACCGTGCCCGCTGGCATCACGCCCTGTGCCGCATGGGATGGGTGGGGTGGGATGGGATGGGATGGGATGGGATGGGATGGGATGGGATGGGATGGGATGGGATGGGATGGGATGGGGTGGGATGGGTGCAGGGGAGGGGAACGGACGCATGGGATGGGTGGGTTGGGTTGATGGGATGGCATGGGGTGCTGGGGTGGGATGGGAGCATGGCATTGAAGGTGGTGCATGGGATGGTGCATGGGATGGTGCATGGGATGGTGCATGGGATGGTGCATGGGATGGTGCATGGGATGGTGCAATGGGATGGTGCATGGGATGGTGCATGGGAAGAAGGAACGACCCAGTATAATTCGATCAGAATGGATCAAGAGGCCAAGCTCGGCGGTGCAGAGCAACAATCAGCACACACGCTTCAACTCGCCCTCACTCACCCACTGCTGCTGCTCCACCCCGCACCCTCTCTCCGCTCTCCCCCCCCCCACTGTCTCCAGCTCCCCAATCCCCAGACTCCCTCATCATCCCCAAAATGCACCCCCCTGCTTCCCCCCTTCCCCCCTTCCCACCTCCCATTTTCCCCCCTTTGCCTCTTCCCCCCCTGTGGCATGAGCAGTACGCACCATTTGGACTTTGTGGCCGCCCAGGATGTAGACACACATGAGGGAGATGTATATACAGCCACGTGTCAGCGCCTCGTTGGTCGACTTGAGCACACTCAGCCGCGTGCCCGTCTCCCGCGCATCTGCCACGTGGCCTGCAAACCGCCCCAGCTGCCGCGCCTCGCCTCCAAACGACCGCACCTGGGGGAGAAAGAGAAGAGAAGGGTGAGGGTACAGGGTTTTTGGGGGTGTGGAGGAGGGGGCGGGGGGGAAAAGAAAGAGGGGAAGGGAAGAGAGGGAAGGAGTTGGCATGCATAAAACCAAGCATGTAAATAGCGCCTGCTCGGTTGTGTGAACTAGCGCCATACCTAATTGAACCCCACCTGTCTCGACGCACTCACCACCTCAATAATCGGCTCGAGAGGCAGGCAGGGGGGGCGAGTGGGTGGCGGAGCTCACGGTGCGGATGGCTTGGAAGGTCTCGGTGGCGGAGTCGGTGATGCGCGCCTGGGTGGCGGTGCTGCGCGCGAACACGGGCAGCGTGCCGCGCTTGTAGATGCCCGCGATGAGCGAGATGCCCACCGCCAGCAGCGAGAACACGGGCGCTAGGTCTGGAGCGATGACGAACAGGATCGCCAGTGTCGACACCACCTGCCGGGTATGGGGCGGGGGGGGAGGGGCGGTGTGTGGAGGGGCGGGGAGGGGGGGGAGGGGCGATGTGTGGAGGGGCGAGCAGAGAGAACACGGGCGCCAGGTCTGGCGCGGTGACGAACAGGATCGCCAGCGTCGACACCACTGCCGGGTGCCGCGTATGGGGAGGGCCGCGGAGGGGTGGTGTGCGGGGGGGAAGAGCAGGGGGTTGGTGAAAGCATGGACGTGGAGGGGGAGCATGGGGGTGCGCGTGGTGACAGAATGGGGAGTATGGGGGTGCGCGTGGTGACGGAAGGCTGGGGGAAGGCATTGCCGTCTCCGCTTCGCTGTAAATTCTCTTTGCGCCTCGTTTCTCTGCGCTCTCGTTTCTCTGCGCTCTCGTTTCTCCGCGCTCTCGTTTTTCCGCGTTCTCGCTTCTTTGCGCTCTCCCCTGTACGCGCGCGCCAGTGGCGCACCTCGCAGATGGAGCGGAGGCCGCGGTCGCGCGTGACGTTGTCGGTGACGGCCTTGTCCATGAACCCCAGCTCCGACGACAGCACGCCGCTCAGCGCCGCCACCTTGTGCGCGTCGTAAAACGCCACCTGCCGGGGGAAGGAAGGGGGGGACGCGGCGGAGAAGGGGGGGGACGAAAGGATGCGGGGAGGAGGGCAGCAGCGGGAGAAATTGATAAGGATGACGCGACAATGAAAGAAAGAAAAGAAAGTTCTAAAGTTCCAGTTTTCTGGAGGTGCTCTCGTGGCGATCTCCCACCGCCATGAGCGCGAAGCGCACCTTCTGCAGCAGCAGGCGGCGGAAGACGCGGACCCTGACGGCGGCCATGACGGCCTCCCACACGGCCGACAGCGACGACACGAACAGCAGCGTGGCCGCCGGCTCCAGCACGTAGATCGCGGCAATCGGCAGCAGCAGCTGCGCCAGCGGCACGGGCACGGGCGCCACGAGCGCCTGCACGAAGTTACCGTTGATGCGCGGCAGCACGACGTTGCACGTCGTCCCCGCGATGAGACCCACGGCAAGCCCGACTAGCCGCAGTTTGTGCCGCAGCACCAGGCCAACCACGAGCTGCCACGTAATCACTGGGGACGCCGCCTGTTGTTCTTTCCGCGGCTCCTCTGCGCGCGAATCGCGCAAATCGTCCACCGCGGGCTCTTTCACTTCGCTGCTAAACTCCTGCGCGCTACAGTACCCGTCCTCCGCCTCCCCTTCGCACTCCTCTTCCTCCGCCACGACTACAGACGCGGCTCCATTTCCTTCGACAGCGGCTTGAGAAGCAAGCCGCCCTGGTCTTAATTTGGCACGGAATTGTGTAATATAAGGGAATCGAGAGCTCGAATCTCGGCCTAAACAGGCACGTTGACGTGGCCTCGCTGAAAACGCGTGCCTTTGACTCTGCGTTGCATAAGTACCCGTTACGGGGTTGTCCGTTACTAAGCTGTGGCGTACACATGCTCGTCTGGACTCAGCGCTACGACAGGAGCTCAGCGCAGATGCAAGAGCCGGCCGAGCAACAGCGCTGGTGACTGCCATGGCCCGAATCGTCCCAGTTTCACGAAGGTTGGTACTCTACTGCAGCGTCAAGCCAAGAAAAGGACCGGCTTTCCTGTGACCTGGCTCAAGACTACACCTGGCGCGAATAAACGAGTATTTCCCTCGTAATAATCTATATGCGTCAGTGGCCGCGAGGAAGAGCCACTCGGGTGAAATGCGGCGGCGAAACTCAGTTCGGCTGGACGAAAACGACCATGTGGCGGAAAAGGTTTTCTACTTGCGTGCTTGAAGCAGAGGCTTGATGTAACTCTGCCGTGGTGCGTGCACGGTGCAGAATGGACGAAAGAACTAGAGCTTCTCTTCCTAATAAGTGTTTATGTCAGTGGTCCCTCTCCCAAGTTCGCAATGGTCTGGCGCGGGAGAGGGCCTGGAGGTTTGCGGGCGGAGCAGGTGCGGTACAGGTTGGGCACTGCTTCCTGAATTCTGATTCGCCCTTCAGCGCCTCTTCGCCAGGGAGCGGACGCGAAGCAAACAGCGGTTGCTTCGAATTGGTGGCAGATTTGCAATTTGGTGCATGCAGCGGAAAGGGGATGGCCATGGTGGGGCAGACAGAGAGCATGGAGAAGTGACGTGGGCGATCCGAGGTCGACAGCACGGTGCAGCCAGAAACATTGTGGGGCTGGTATGGGCTTGGTGGCATGTGACGTGGCGCACTAGCACCTGCTCATCCACTCATGGTACGCGAATTCAACAGATCGGGATGGCGACCGTGACGAGTTCGACGAGTTTGCCGAGTTTGCGAAACCACTTAGCGAAAGCACACGGTTTGGAAAAAATGGCAGCGAAATAGCTGAAAAGCGTCAATGTTACGACAGCCCCCTGCCATCTCAAAAGCCAGCAGACATTCCCAAGGTCAGACATACAGCAACCAACCATCCCAGCATTTTGTGAGAAAGTAATACCTTCTCTCTTCTCGGATGATAGGTATGAGACAATTGATCTCGTCGCCGCTACGCTTATTGCCACGCGACGTCGCCATATCCTCGCATTGCTTGTCGTCAGTCGTCTTCATGCCAGTTCAGACGCGATCGTCTTTTCGCCGAACCTCGCCTCCGGAGTCTTCGCAACCGCCATGCATCCCACCGCAAAAATCGCTCGCTGCCACGCGTCCAGCCACCAGCATCGACACCCCACTTTCTCGGCGTGCTTCTCTCGATGCCTATCGTCTCACGTCGCCTCCGGTTTCCCGTAAATCGCGCTCCTCGATACGACAGCCAACTCGCTCCGTTCGCAGCGCCTCCAGCAGTGCACGCACGAGCTCTGCCGGACCGCTGACTCCGATTAGCGACATTGAGGATCTCGGGGGGGAGGTGCCACGTGGCGTGATGGGAGAAACACGTGACAGAGGGGGTGGGGAACCGGAGGCCCAAGAGTCGGAGCAGGCGAGTAGCGAGGAGGGGGAGTCTGATGAGTGCGAGGAGGGCGTGAATGACAAGGCAGCGACGCGACGGCGGAGAATAGCCGCGGGTACCGCGTCCAGGAGGAGCGGGGCCGCGAAGAGATTAAAGGCGGAGGTAGGAAGGGGGAGCGGGCGAAAGGCATCCAAAGAGGAGTTGGAGATTAAGTACGGGTTCAGCGACGAGGAGGTCGTCGCGGCACGATCCGCATTGATGGAATGGTACGACGCGAATAAGCGTGACCTGCCGTGGCGAGCGGCCGCAGGGAGCGAGAAAGCGGAGCGGATGGAGGAGGGGCGCAACGATAGCAAGGAGGCGCGGGAGGCAGGGGGGAACGAGCGCGGGGAGCAGGAGGCGCAGGAGGCGCGGGAGGAGCGGGAGGAGCGGGAGGAGCGGAGGGCGTACGGGGTGTGGGTGAGCGAGGTGATGCTGCAGCAGACGCGCGTGGCCGTGGTGGAGCCCTACTTCCGCCGCTGGCTGGCGCGCTGGCCCTCCCTCCCCCTCCTCGCCTCCGCCTCCCTCGAGGTCCCTCCCCCTCCGCCCGCCGCCCCCCTCCCTTCTCTTCATCCATCTCCTTCTCGGCCTTGTGTCCCTGTGCTGTGCCATCTGCTGTCTCCCCATGCGCCTCGCTCGCTCGATGCCGCCTGGCATGCCAGATTTGCTGCACTCGCTGACTCCCGTGTGCGCTCCATTGTTGGCCTTCTCGTCTCGCCTCCCCTTTCGCGGCCCCATCCCCGCAGGAGGTGAACAGCATGTGGGCCGGGTTGGGCTACTACCGCCGCGCCAAGTACCTGCTCCAGGTGCACTCAAGCGCAGCCATTCGCCCATTTCGTTTCACTTTGCTTGATTTGATGGGATGAAGTACACTACCAAGATAATGCATGCATTCACATCCAGCGGCAGCAACATGCAGGAGCCCATACCCCTGTGACTCTCTCTCTCCTCCCACTCGTCCTCCCACCCCCTCCGCCCCCTGGCAGGGAGCGCAGCACATACAGCAGCAGCACGGGGGGCGCATGCCGCGCACAGCCAGGGAGCTGCAGGCAGTGCCGGGCATCGGCCCTTACACCGCCGCTGCTGTCGCCTCCATCGCCTTCCGCCAGGTCTGCATGCATGCCAGCGGGCAGGGGCCAGGGGGCAAAGGGACAGGGGGGGAGGAGGAGGGTGAGGGGGAGAGGGAGGGGGAGAAGGTTGAGATGGGAAGGGGGAAGGGGGCGAAGAGGGAAAAGGGAGGGGAGAGGGGTATGCAGGGAGAAGGGGGTTGGGGACATTTGGGCTGCAGCATGGCTACCATTGCGTTCTAACAGGTTGGGTGGACGCCAAGGGGACGGGATGTTGAAACATGTGTGAGGCTCGGTGGAGGTTATGGTTCCAGGGGCGGTGAGAGCAGTCACCTCTCATCTCCGCACCACCATCCCGTGCACCCTCTCCTCACACCGCCTCTCCGCCACCACGCATGCAACCACCCCTCCTTCCCAACCTCCCCTTCCCCCCCCAGCCAGTGGCAGCGGTGGATGGCAATGTGATGCGCATCATGGCACGAATGAGAGCCGTGCCACTGCCCATGCATGAGAGCGCCGCCACCTCCCTCTTCTCCCACCTCGCCTCCCAACTGCTGCACCCTGCACGGCCCGGGGACTTCAACCAGGTGCGCGCACTGGGTGGGCTCGTTGGGCTGTTGTTGAAGCACGCAGGCAGGAGTGGCTATGTGTGCCTCGCCATGTCGATCCTGTCCCTTGCTGCACATCACAACTTATTTTTTGCCCATCCTGCACCCATCCCATCATGTCACTCGCTCAACCAATCGACCTATCAACTATTCGCCCGCCACTCACCCACTCAACCACCCACTCACGCCCTGAGCCCCCCTCCCACACCCCCAGGCGCTGATGGATCTGGGCTCCCTCGTGTGCTCGCCCTCCTCCCCCTCCTGCTCCGCCTGCCCCCTCTCGCCCCACTGCCGCGCCCTCGCACTGCAGCAGCAGGGGGCACACAGAGGGGAAGAGGGGGAGGGTGGAGAGGGCGGGAAGGGCGAGGGGGCAGTGAGGGTGACGGACTTCCCTGTGCGCAAGGCCAAGGCAGCACCCAGAGAGGAGTGGGTGGCCGTGTGTGTCGTGGAGAGGAGAGGTGCAGCGGTGCCAGCGCTGGCATCAGAGGCATCAGCAGGTGTTCCTGCCAAGAAAGGCAGGCGCGCACACGGTAGCCCCAGCGGCAATCAATCTAGTCGTGAGGAACCTTCTCAGTACCTTCTGGTGCAGCGCCCGCCTACCGGACTGCTCGCAGGGCTGTGGGAGTTCCCCTCTCTGGTTGTGGCCTCAGGCACAGGCAGGCCAGCAGAGGTGCAATGGAGGCGGGCTGTGGAGCAGCTGCTGGGGCAGATGCTTCCCCGTGTGACTATAGAGGGGTCTGGACAGCTTAGTTCGGATGGGAGAATGCTGCAGGCGGGGAAGAATAAGGTGGAGGGGAGCAAGTGGCGTGTGATCGAGAAGCAGGATGTGGGCGAGACCTTGCATATCTTCTCCCACATACACCAGCACATGCTAGTCGAGAGAATTGTGATTGTGGAGGGAGTCGAGGCAAGTGATTTTGTTGAGGTCAACAGTGGAACTGCAGTGGCTAGATCAAAGAAGAAACCAGTTGGTTGCCAGGACAGTGATGAGAATGCCTTGCTGCCAATCCATCAGCAATGGTGTTGGCGTAGTGGGTCGGAAATAGAGAAATTGGGCCTCTCAAGTAGTGTCAGAAAGGTGAGCATGTCAAATGGTCATTTGCTTGTTTTTTCCTTGCATAGTTTTGAAGGAGCTAAGTTGAGGTGTGTCCCATTGGCTGTTTTCTCTTTCTTGAAGGTGTGGGACATGCTTCAAGCCCACCTGCCCTAAGCACACACGTCTAATCTCTAACGCAGCTGCTTAAAACGATATGCTTCCAAGTAAATTGGTTCATCATTTCGGGCAGTTTCGAGTGGTTATTGTCGTAGTCCACGTGTGTATTTGATTAGGACCATGGAATCCAGCAAGTTGTGGATATTTTGATTGATGAGCCGCAACTTACAGAATTGCTTTCGGCCAATCACGAATCAACGGGGAAATCTTCTCGACAGCGATGGATGATGGCAGATTTCTTCCTTTGTCGTTTTCTACTGATGCGAACGCTGCCAGCTTGGCAATTTCGGATAGAGTCTCTTTCAGCCAAAACACCCTTGCTCTGTGGGTGGAACAAAAATTGTCGAACCAAACATGATCACAGGTGGCAACACAATTTGTTGGACAGAACTCTTTCCGACGCAACAAAAATTGTTTGAGTGGATGTCGTTTGCTTTGTTTCCCACTGTATGCCCCGCTCATGGCAGGTGTGATTTGGTGGAACAAAAATGTGGTGCCGGAGAAAAGCAGATATTCATCCATCGTACATTTCCAAGGGCTGCCTGCCGCACCGCTAGGTTGCCTGCCATTCCTGCCAGTCCCCCCCCTAGCCGCATCCCCGCCATTCATCACATGCACGCCTTCATCCCCCCATCCCGTTCACACAAATCCGCCATCCAGCTGTGAGTGTGGGTGAATGAATGGAGTGTTTGAATGGCTGTCCAGCTTCCACTTTCCGTTTTTCTCGAACACCGCACCCCACCGCTCCTAAGCTCCTGAAAATCAAAGCGATCCTTGTCGTGAAGCACCCGCACCGCATCACAGCCGCCTCCCCCCACATCCTCCCCGATCGCACTATACAACCCCCTCCACACCGTAGTAAGCTACTTTTCTTCACAGCCTTCAAAGTCTCACTCGCTTGGTTCATCTCTTTGTTCCCTCGCCCCTCTGTGTGCTACCAGCACACCAAGGAGTAGTGTCACTGGCTCCTGGACAGCCGATTCCTCTCTTTTCCCCTCGCGTCGTCTGTCCGTGCTGATTACCAGTGATTCTTCCTTCTTACACGGCTTATCGCGCAATTCGCCATGGCGCCCAGTTTCGGCCGTCCCTGGTTCGCCATTTTCAACACAAATCCCGTGCAGGCCAAGGAAGAGAAGGCCCCAATGCCGCCGTCTATCGACTTTCAGCCGTCGATTCGCGTGAGCCAGTTCGGCGGGAAGAGCCAGCGGCAGCTCGCAGGCGTCTCCAGCAGCCCGCTCGTGCAGGACCACGTCGCCGCCGTCGCAATGCGCGCCCGTCTCGAGATGCGCAAGGGATTGCCGCAGAGCACCGTGCGCCTTCTCGATCCACCGACGATGTCGCTGTCAAGCGCCGCCCCCCGAACCAGTCTTCCGCCGGCGGCTTCCGCCACACTAACCCCCCCGCTCAGCGCCAACACTGAAGCCGCTTCCGGAAGGTCGAGCGCCACCAGTCAAAATTCTTCCGCCATTTCACCGGAACCTGTTGGGATGAGAAAACATCCTTCTGCCAACCCTCCGCCGCTAACAATCCCCCCGCTCGCGCCAAGCCCCTCCGCGCCCATCACCCCCCACGGCACGTCCGCCATGCAGCCGCCCCACACGCCTGGATCTACGGCGGCAGCTCGATCAACCGCAATAGCGCCAATGACGGCGGAATCGGATCTGGTGGCGGCGCCGCTCAAAGTGGCGGCGCAGTGGAGCCGCGAGGAGTGGCTGCTCGTGGTGCGCGCCGTGGAAGCCGGTGCGACAAGGTGCTTGAAATGCCCGAAGCAGTCCGAGTTCATGGCCGCCGCAACACACGGCGCCATCCACCTTATCCAAAGCCTTAAAACGACAACTGCAGCTTCGACGCCAGGGGTGACCCCGGCCTCGAATCCAGGCTCGGCAAAAGGCTCGGAATCCGGCCCGGAGCAGTTTTCAAGCCCTGCCGCTCCCGCCGCAGGCATGCCGAAAGTGGAAATTCCTGCGTCACCGACGCGGCGCAATCTGTTTTACACCACGTCATCAGGGTCATCTGATGACACCACATTTGTCGATGATTCCGCCACGCTGGCGAGCCGCACCTCGACCGGCTCCGCGTCGACTTCCGACGACGACTACACCGTCAGCGCCGCGACGCGATACGGCAGCTACAGCAGTTTCAACAACAGCAGCAACAAGGGCGCTGCGACCGCTCAGGCGCCATCCACGTTCATGCTTCCGAGCCCTTCCGGCTGCCCTCGCACGCCCTTTTCGCATCTCATGCCACAGGCGCCGGCGAACCAGCTAGCCGCCTCTTCCCGCGGCTTGCCGGCCGGCAGCATGATCTTGCCCAGCCGAGCCGACGCGTCGGAAGAGCTCCCCGCGTGTCCGTTCCTCGGCCACTCCGCGCGCTACAGCAGCTACGAGACAAAAGACGCCGGCCGCTCGGCCGAGCCTCCCTCACCGGGACTCCCGGGAACGATGCCGTTCAGCGCCATGACGACGCGCCGCAGCGCCGACGCGTCTCTCCCCGTGCGATCCGCGACGGCGGGCTCGGCAAGCGCAGCCGGGGCGAGCGGGAGCCGCAGCATGGGGATGAGCGCGAGCGGCGTGCAGGTGGACGCGATGAACCGCAAGCTGCTGACGGTGATCACCAAGTCGCACGAGATCTTCTCGCGCGACCTCACGCCCAACGGCTCGCAGGTCGCCGATTACCTGCTGTCGCAGCTGCTGGAGCTCACGCAGTCCGAGTCGGGCTTCATCGCCAGCGCGCTGAAGCGCGCCGATGGTTCGCTGTACCTCAAGACGCACTCGATTACGAACCTCGCGTGGAACCGCGACCTGCGCGCGTGGTACACGGAGAACGCGCCCAAGGGGCTCGTGTTCGGCAATCTCAAGACCATCTTCGGCCGCGTCGTGACGTCCGCTGACGTCGTCATCAGCAACGACGTGCCCAACGATCCGCGCGCATCGGGACAAGGTGTGCCGCCCGGCCACCCGGTTATGCAGAGCTTCCTGGGCGTTCCCTTGTTTTCCGGGCCGGATCTGGTGGGCATCTACGCGGTGTCGAACCGCGAGGGGGGCTATAACGAGGGGCTGCTGATGAGCATCCAGCCCGTGACTAAAACGGTGGCGCAGGTGGTGGTGGGCGTGCAGCAGCGGCGCAAGAAGTGGGAGGCGGAGGAGCGACTCAACGACATGCTCGAGGTGAGCGCCGTGGATGCGCTGTGCGCGTATGGGCGGGATGGGTGGGGGAAGGCGGAGGGTGGAGGATGGGTGGGAGCAGGATTAGCCTTCAAAATGTCTACTCTGGTCAGCTCAGCTTGTTTCTAGCTACTGCTCTTATACCCTGCCAGCCGCAGCTTCTCAATTCAAATCCCCCTCTCGTCCTCATCCCCCTGCGCCCCACCCATGCTCGTTCTATGATTTGACAGGCGACACAGCATGCGATGGTGGCGGTGTCAGCGGACGGCAAGCTCACGTGCGCCAACCGGGCGGCGCGCATGCTCTTTGCACTCGAGAGCAGCACAGAGGGCGACGGCGATGCGACAGGTGGCAAGCTGCCATTGGGGCTGAAGCTGGCGGACGTGCTGGTCAGCATCGATGGCGATGAGGACTTCATGCAGCGAGGTGAGTCCACACAGGATTTTCGCCCCCCCTGCTGCACACCAGCCTTCTTGCCCCCACACTACACGCCCCCCTCTTGCCCCCACACCGCGTGTTCCAATCCCACTGTTCTTCTCTGTGTGTGAGCGTAGTTGTACTCTTATTCACCGCACTGCACCACATTACATTCCACCCCTTTCTCTCAACCACAGGCCTGGATGCCTTTGCTGAGGAGTCGCTCTATGAGTGGTCGGCTGAGGGACGGCAGCACCAGCCGCACGGTGAAGGGGAGGAAGGCGCAAACGAAGCAGCAGACAGCATGGCGTTGAGAATCACTGTGGCACGGGGCTCCTCCAGTGACGTGAAATTCGTGGTCACTGCTAGGGAGGCTGCTGCGAGGCATGGGAGACACACAGGGGAGGAGGTTGATGGTGATAGAAACGGGATGGAGCACAGCCATGAGGGGCATGAGGTAGCATATGCACATGGTGATGAGCAATGTGAGCTTGTGCTGTCAAATGAGGATGGCACCCTCACGATTCTGGCTTGAGCAAATACTCTATGACGGTTTTGGCGTTGTGTGCCCACGTTTGTAGTTCAGGTTGATCATATATAGGCTGGATTGAAGACATATCCGAACATGTGTTCAAAACAGGCACTTGTGTGGATTATTGTCACGGTACGAGTGCAATTGAGCGATCGAGCGAGAATTGCACTATCGAAGCAACCAGTCGAATGAGCGAAGGCATGCGCGAAGAATATATAGCGAACTAGAGTGGTAACGGTAACGCGATAAAATGGGGTGCGCTACGGGCCTAGCGCCAAGGTTGGGAAATGTCGAGGCGGAGGTCCGGAGCGCGGGTTACCAACCGAACCGTGAGGTTGGGTCGCATCGTGAACGGTGGCGGGAGTCATAGTCAAGGCGAGTGTCGCGAGCGGGTAACGTTTCACTGTTGGGTGTCGATGGCGGGAATGGTCTTGTACGCGGTAAGCAGGGGCGCTAAGTAAGGAGAACAATTTTTCCTTACACTACCCCCCTCCCCAGGGAGGCCCTCCTTACGAGAGCGCGTGTATATCTCGGAAATTTTGGCTGCGCAGATACTCGGTGAGGACAGGGTGATTCTCGATTCTATCCAGGGGAACCCAGTTGTCTTCGGTGGGCGTGCGGTCTTTCCGGCGGATCAGGAATTCGATCCTGCGGGCTCCCCGTGGGTCACGTACTCGGTGGCTCAGTATTTTTTCGGACGTGATGATTGGCTCTGTCGGCGGTCGTGTCATGCTGGCGGGGCGGTTGCGAGGCAAGTGTCAAAACAGTAGCTAGTGTTAGAATACTAGGAAGTGATGATGTCATTAGGTGAAGGGGGGGTACAAGAAGAATGTCGAGAGAAATATTGTACCCCCTAGTGCTAACCCCCATACAGCCTAGATAACCTAAACATGCATATATTGTTTGACACACCCCCATAGGCGAAATGGGGGATAGCCAGAGCAAGCAAAGGTCACAAGACCAGACAAGAGAAGAAACAAAACACAGCTCAGGGTGGATCACGAAGTCACCACACACTCTGAGCACAAGTAAGAGGCCACAAGGCCAGTTCACATGCAGAGATGTATATGCAGCAAAGCACTGTGATCACTACCTAACAAGAGCAAGCATGCAGGTATATATATGTATAGATCACAGTACAAGCAAAGTCTACAGCAAGTGAGAAAACGTGGGCACAAGGCCTAACAGAGTGTAGAAACGCTGATGATCACCAGACGGAAGCGCCTTGGTGAATATATCAGCTGTGTTAGCCCGAGTGGCCACGTGAGCAAGACGAAGCTGACCACGCTGCTGCAACTCTCGAGCCAGGAAGTAACGCAGAGCGATGTGCTTCGTTCTGTGCTCCAGTCTGTGCTCCTGACACAAGGCAATGGCGGCCTTGTTGTCGACGTACAGCACTGGAGGAGAACGAGGCCGCTCTCCCAAGTCGGTCAGCAGGTAGGTGAGCCAGCGTAACTCCTGTGCAGCCATGGCTGTGGCGTAGATCTCAGCCTCACAACTGGAGCTGAGAACTGAAGACGAGCGTGTAGAACGCCAAGAGACCGAACCAGAGCCAAGGCTGAAGGTGTAACCCTGTGACGACCGCTGTGTAGCCTGGTCGTCAACCCAAGAAGCGTCTGAGTGCCCAGTGAGGACAACGTCGCTCCGTCCTCCAAGCACGAGCCCCATGCCCGATGTACTGCACAAGTAGCGTGGTACCCTCTTAGCAGCATCCATGTGCACCTTTCGGTGCCGACCAGGAGCCACGTAGCGAGCCAGAAGGCCAAGAGGGTACGCAAGGTCAGGACGAGTGCAGGTCATCAGGTACATGAGGCAGCCCACTAGCTCTGGATAAGGACCACTCGGCTCTACGGACTCGTCCGAAGGTGGAGCTGAGAGCGAGTGACCTGTAGCCAGAGGAGTGTGCTGTGCCGAGGACCAGGTGAAGCCGAAGCGCTGAAGGACCTGCTGTACCATGTGTGACTGAGTCAGTGTGATGGTGCGGCGTGCTCTGTCCCGGGTGATCCGCAAGCCAAGATAGCTTGTCAGCTCACCCAGGTTTGTGCACGTGTGTCTCTTCTGCAGCTCCGACTTCACCAGGGCGAGAGCCTCAGTGTCAGCAGTGGCAAAGACCAAGTCGTCGACGTACACGAGGATGTAGAACGGCGGCAGCGAAGTGTCGGTGCTGAGAAACAGCGACGGGTCAGCAGTCGACGGAGCAAACCCAAGAGCCGCAAGTGTCGTCCTCAGTGTGTCGTGCCACTCACGTGGCGCCTGGCGGAGACCGTAGACCGGCCGTCTGAGGCTCCACTGGGTACCAGGAGGGAACGACCCAGTGAAGCCAGGTGGGCGGCGCAGCCAGATCTCCTCGTGCAGGCTGCCCTGTAAGAAGGCTGTGCTGAAGTCAAGAGAGTGAAGCTCGTAGTCACGCTGAGCGGCAACGTGCAGCAGCACCCGAAGAGTGGTCATCTTCGGGGTGGGGGAGAAGGTCTGGAAGAAGTCTACTCCCTCTCGCTGACTGAAACCTCGTGCAACGTAACGCGCCTTGAAGGCAGGCGGAGAACCTGGCGGCCGCTTCACCCTGAAAATCCACATGCCACTGACGATGTTCGCCCCAGGTGGGGGAACCTCGTCGACGTAGGTGCCTGTGGACTTCCAGGATGCCATCTCTGCGTCCATGGCTGTCTGCCACTGAGAGGAGTACTCACCCGCGATCGCCTCAGCGTAAGAGCGCGGGGTCAGGATGTCTGGAGCATCCGGGTCTCCCTCAGGGGCAAGCAGCATGGACACGAGATGAGGCGCAGCGGCTGCAAGACACTCAAGGTCCTCCTGCCTGTCCTCAAGGACGTCCGTGCCAAGAGCACACTCACCCCCGACGGACGGAGGACAGACAGACTCAGACTCAGCAACAAGACTAGCGGCGTAGTCTAGACGACAGGCAGCAGCAAAGTCAACAAGCTCAGCAACTAAGGCAGACGTAGCAGCAGACTCAAACGACGGGTCAGTGACAACAGTGGCTAGCAGACGCGTGACAGTAGGGTGCTCAGCACGAAACCGGTCAGACTCGGGGTCCGCAACGACAGGCAGAGAAGACGCAGGAGGGGACGGCAGAGGAACACGCTGTGGAGGAGAGGAAGAACGACGGACTACGAGGTGGGTGTCGGGGACAGCCGGCAGACGCGGACGAGGAACACGACGACCGGAACGACCAGAACAGATAGGCGAGACAGGACGCAAAGCAGGCTCACGACGCTCAGTAAGACTCCCTAGCTGCTCAGTGTAAGGAGAAGGAGCAGGCAGCGGTGAGCCAGGCTGTAACGGAAGACCGGTAGACGAAGGGAGACTAAGAACCTGGCGAAGCACAGAGTCAGGCGGTGGCTGAGACGACGGAGACGGTGGAGCGAAGAACAGGCGCGGCTGTGCAGTGACACCAGCACCAGCAGCTCCAGTACCCCCAGCAGCTCCAGCACCTCCAGCAGCTCCAGAACCTCCAGCGCCAGCACCCTCAGCAGCTCCAGAACCTCCAGCTCCAGCGCCACCAGCGCCAGTACCTCCAGCAGCCACAGAACCCTCAGCGCCAGCTCCTCCAGGACCAGCTCCACCAACAGCAGCACCCCCAGAACCGGCACCTCCAGTCCCAGGGTCTCCAGCCTCAGTGCCTCCAGCAGCAGCACCCTCAGGCTCAGCACCTCCAGCCCCAGCAGCTCCAGTACCTCCAGTACGAGCACCTCCGGGACCAGCACCACTCCCAGCTCCAGTGACGGCAGCAGAAGTACCTCCAGCGGCAAAGCCCCGAGCTCCAGAAGCGCGACCCTGACGCCGACCGTACCACTCGTGCAGCTGCTGCGAGGTGAGAGGCACACGCGGACGAAGGCGGCTACTCCAAGGAAGCCGCGCAACAGCAGACTCAGAACCCTCAGCGCCAGAACCCGCAGCAGCTCCAGAACCTCCAGCGCCAGCACCTTCAGCAGCTCCAGAACCTCCAGCTCCAGTGCCACCAGCGCCAGCACCTCCAGCAGCTCCAGAACCTCCAGGTCCAGCACCCTCAGCAGCTCCAGAATCCCCAGCAGAAACAACTCCAGTGGCAGAGTCACCAGCTCCAGCACCTCCCGCAGCAGGGCCCCTAGCTCCAGCAGCGCGACCCTGATGGCCAGCGTACCACTCAAGCAGCTGCTGTGGGGAGAGAGGGAGTCGACGACGAGAGTGCAGCGGCGAGGCACCAGCGGAGCGACTACGGAGACGGCCGCTCCAGGGAGACTGCTCACCAGACGCCTCAGCGCCCCCAGGCTCAGCACCCCCAGACTCCTCACACCTAGGCTCAGCACCTCCAGTCTCCGCACCCCCAGGCTCCGCACCTCCAGGCTCCGCACCCCCAGGCTCAGCACCCCCAGAAGCAGCACCCCGAGCAGGACCACCCTCAGCAGGACCCGAGTCACCAGTGACCTCAACCGGCGCAGTCAAGGGAGGAGGGTCTACCTGAGACACACCTGAAGGAGCAGGACCGGGAGCGGGGAGGGGGTCTACCTGGGGAGCACCTGGAGCGAGGAAGAGCGGCGGGGGGGGGAGAGGGGCAGTGCGGTAGGGGAAGAGACGGTAAAAGGGAACCGACTCGTCGAACGTGACGTCCTGAGAGGGGAAGATACGGCGCGAGGTGGGGTGGTAAAACTGCCAACCAGGCGCGTCAGGGACAAAGCCAAGGAAGACACAGGGAACAGCTCGGGCGGAGAGCTTGTCCGCGGTGGTATCGCGGACAAAGGCACGAGCACCCCAGATCCGGAAACGCGACGCATCGCCAACCTTCCCTGTCCACAGCAGTGTGGGCGAGGTCTCCGGCAAAGAGACATGGGGCCAGAGGTTGAGCTGATGCGCGGCGTACCGGACCGCAAACGGCCACAGAAAATGGGGGGCAGCCGCATGGATCATGGAGGTACGAGCGACCTCCATGACTAAGCCAATGCGGCGCTCAGCAACCCCATTTTGCTGCGGAGAGGCCGGAAGCGTGAACGTCTGGCGGATGCCGTGCT